TGTAGGGCTTGCTCTCTTTTTGCCTAGCACCTGCCGTCCGTAGATCTTAGGTCCAAGGACCCCGCCCCGATGTGCCGGGCTTTGTCCAGCGGCTGAACGTCGGCTGAACGGATGAGGAGGAAATGACGTGGGTGAACGCACTACGGTGTCACAACCCTGGGACGCGGCGAAGCGGCTGAAGCCAAAGCAAGGAAATCGTGGTCATCAAAAGGAATCTTCTTTGACGAGGTGACACGCCCACACTCCGGCCAGTTCCTCACGGTTTGAGCCACTGCCATTCCGCCAACAAAAGCGGAAAAAAGTAAGTTCGGTATGGTTCAGACAATCCACCGGACAAAGGAGACAAGTCACCAATCAGTACTGTAGCTACTGTAGACCCTTTGATGGACCAAAAAATGGATTGTAGAGCCGTAGAGCCTCTTCAATTATTAGGGCTACTAGGGAAGGTTTTGCTCATCAAGAGTCTCAGTCTACCTTTAAAGTCCATCATCCAGCAACCCCCAATGCCAACCACTCTGCACGCCCAGCCACCGCCATCGTCCAAATCCCGTTCGACAAGCCCTGCGCGTCGCACTCGGCCACCCGCGCGCGACAGGCGCGGCGTGCGCAGGCCACGGCGGGCGCGGCGGTGTGGGCCACACGCGTCAAGGCCCAAGCAAAGTTGGTGGTCACCTGCGGCTGATTCCAGGTGTAGCTGGAGGTTGGAAACTCCAATCCATTCACCACCCCTATGACCTACCTGTGGTCGTGTCAAGCATCAGTACAATAGGGCGTAGGAACATGACTAAATGAAAAAAGCGGCCGTGAAACCTCTGCTCGTTCGGGAATCAAGGAGCGGGCGTGGAGCGGGCGTGGAGCGGGCGTGGAGCGGGCGTGGAGCGGGCAGGACCGGCCGCTCCACGATGGAAACATCCGTTGTCCCCTTCTACTGCGCTGACTTCCAACACAGGTATCCAGTCAGTGACCGCACATAGGACCCGGAAAACCTGGGGTACCGAACTGGGATAGCCGAAGAGTCGGGTTCTGACCCACCTCTGCTGGTACTTGGAGGCCAAAAGCGACACATTGGTTGCCTCGTCTTCTCTCCTCCACTCCCCCGGGCTCCAGACTTTCCCGCGGGGTCAATGGGGGCGGCAGTCCTATGGCAGTCCCATCGAATGTCTGGGATACACTCTTCAACGCGTACCTGCCCCCACTCCCCACCCGGCACGAGTGACTCCCCGGTCCGCGGACCGCGGTCCGCCCGCCTAGGCGTCGTAGAGCTGGAAGTCCGCCTCCTTGCGGCCGATGGCCTCGCAGATCGCCGCCACGCAGCCGGGCGCGTCGTGGCGCAGCTTGGCGAAGGCCCAGGAGCCTCGACCGTGGTGCGCCCGTGCGCCGCGGGTTTCGTGGTGCAGGTTTCGTGGTGAACTGTGGCCGTCAGGGTCTCTGAGACTGGAGCCTCACATCGTGAAACCGCTGGAGAACTGAATGTCGAAGCAAGTTGGAATTATCATTCCTTAGAGATTAAGGACCATTAACCATGTTGAGACAAGACCATTAAAGAAGAAACCATGTCGGTGTCATTCTAGTTGGAATTAAGACCATTAAAAGCCATTGAGATTCATGAAGTATATTGTACACACGTCGGCAACCCGCCATCGAATCGGCCAGGGCACAACGCACCAGCCACTACAGCCGCAAGCGGCTCGTGCGACTTCGTACCATCAAGGCGAGGGCTTCCACGTGAGGTGCTGCGTCCTGGGAATGCATCCGCAGCTGAGGATGACCACTAGTCACTAGTCAAGGCTCTTCTCTGAGGGAAACACTTCAGAAATGTCAGATGCAGAACCCTCCATCTCGAAATCTTTCCCCATTTGAGTTTTCGCTGAAAAAGTTGCATTTTGATGTTCCGTGTCCCAACCCGCTCCTCCACGAACAACTTGGCCAACGCCCAGACCTTGTTTAGAACTTCGGGTTTTTTCGAAGCCAAGACCCATGGGCAGCGATTCCTGTTCGTTTGTTCCGCCCAAGGGAAGATCCAAAGACCATATATTGTTCACTGCAGTGATGTGTTCTCTGCGGCTCACCTAAATAAAACACAATTTTGACATATAGTCTTGCGATTGAACCCTCAACCCTGCCACAAGACTTGTACCCAAAAAAGTTGTCAAACACTCCTTCCCAGCACCCGCCGGACTGCGAAGGCAAAGCTCCAGTAGCAGTAGCAAGGAAAAAAGGAACGATCCCAGACACTCCATGGGACTGGGATGGACTGGGTATATGTGCCAAACCCTTGACCCCTTTTCAACCCAATCCCTGGCCTTTTCTGTCCTCGCTGGGATCGGCTGCCCCCTCCGCCCCCCTCGCCATCTCTGCCGGTCCAGCCGCCGTGTTCACCAGCCCCTGGTCATCCAGCTCGCCGGTCGCGCCCGCGCCGGTCATCAGGGACGAGGTCACGAGGCGCACCGTGCGGTGCCTCTCCCGGCAGCTGAGGCGAGCGAAGGCCCAAAGAAGATCGGCCAAGCCTGGCACGGCTTCTGTGAGGCTTCACCGGCAGGTTGAAGGAGGGGTGCGTTTCAAGAACCATTGGGGGCACGGCCACTGCTGCACTGCTGCATGGGAAAAAGGAAAGCAGCCGTTCTGCAAATCACATGTTTAAGAACAATACATGTTGCGGACCCATCGGGGTTTCCAGAACCCTCTTCTCAAGCAGGTGCTGTTCTCAGCAGTGGCTGGGCCCCTGCTCTTAAGGACAAACCCACCAACCAACCCCGGACTGCATCCTGACTCCGTCCGGGCTCCACCTGAGGCGGGCAATTCCTCGAGCACGTCCGCGCGGGCCACGCACGCCAGGAGGCGCTCCCACGCGGCGGTGGTGCCCGGTGCCTGCGGACAGAGCTGAAACGATCCACCGACGGACGGAGCGCAGGGTCGCCCAGTCACAGCACGTCCAGTCACAGTAGTGGAACTGAGCGCACGCCTATTTCGCTGGACCACCCCAAGGCACCTCTTGTTCTTTCCAAGCTCAAACCACCAGACGGACATGGTCACCCCTCCACTTCGGCACGATGCCACACGGCGCCTCAGCGGCCGCGTGGGCCATCCGCCGCACGACCAGGACATGCTGCGAAGCGTCGAACTCCGCGTGCCTCTGGGCCTCGGCAACGGACGCGCGAAGGGCGGACGCGCGAGGCCAGGGCGGACCGAGCGTGTGACGGGCGGCGCGTGTTAGGGCGCGCATAGACTCGCGTTCTTCGCGCGCGCGGTGTGGGTTTTGGGGAGGCGCGGAGGAGGAAAAAAAGGGTGGGAGTTGCATGAAGGGCTTGGAACTTGGAGTCGGCATAGAGCTGGCGTCTGGATGAAAAGGACTTTGCGGTGGGAGCTTCTAACAGGTCTTTGAAACAGGACCAGAAGTTCGGACAGTGACAGAATGGAATGTAATAGAACCATGTGGGATACGTGGGGCAAGAAGCAGAATTCCAGCCAGATCTGTGTGTTTCGGGGAGCGGGTGACGGTTGAGCCTCATTTGCAAGGCTGCTTCTGCTAGCCTTCTGCGTCCATAAGTAGATGCCGTGTCCGTTTTGGCTGCCTGTCTCACACGCGGAAAAAGGTCCACAAAATTGCAGCAGCAGCAGCAGCAACAACAACAACAACAACAACGACAGAGCAGTCCACTCAAAGCATGCGCTCAGCATGCACTCATACTGAGCTGGGCGCCCAGTAGGACAGCAGCTGTGACACGGGCACTTGTAAGATTGCCTCCTGCCCGATGTCGAGGCCGAACCCGTCCATGCCAAAATCTGGTCAGACATCCGAAAACAGAGGTCACTTGTCCTGTGACTGTGGGCTCGGAAAGGTGTCTTTGCATGTCTTTTTACCCCATTCATTGACGCAGCGTGGAGCACGGAACAGTCGCCCACCACGGGAAAACTGCCCGCGGCCTTTGCTCTAAGGCCATCCAAGGACGCTGATTCACTGTATATGGTAGAAATAAGATGTATAGAGTACAACATTCTGCATTTAATCACAGTATCTGAAAGAAATCTGGCAGGGTGGTGAACTGTTCTCCGGCACTGCTCTCCAGTAGGGAGCTCACTTCTTGGCAGTCCAAACGACCTGGTTGCCCTTGGCCCTTGCCAGTGGATTAACATAACGACCAGCTGCTAACAGAGTGAGCTCCCTGCATCGCCATACCCACCTCCCCCATCATTCGCTTCTTCCACCTCCGATCAGCTCTTCGCAAGAGCCTGCATCCCACCCACCGTACCCCACGCGCTCGGGCGCCTTCTAGCTCCGCTCGGGCGCCCACGAGGCACTGCCGCCCCGCCGCATCAGCAGCCCAAGGACCCGCTGGCCATGGAGCCGCTTGCCGTGCGCAATCCCAAAGGCGTGGCTTGCAAGCACATGCAACAGCATGCAACCACATATATGATATGCTTGGATTCAAGGGCTCGTGACCATCATGTCTGCTGCAGCATTCGGACTGACCTCCGTGCAACCACGTTTTGTACACTTGCCAAGCTACAGTAAATGAAAATGCATGAGTTCGTGCAAGGGCTACTCTTCTGTACATGAGTTATCCTTTTCTCTATCCCGGCATGATGCTGAAAAAGCAGAACTGCAGAAGAGCAAACTGCTCTTTCAGACTTCGGGAGTTTGGAAGCCCTGAGACTTGCCAGATTCTGAGGTTCAGATGACTTGGATGGTTTTTGCCCGGTGGCACTCCATCCCCAACCAACCAAACGGCACGTGTTGCGTCATCCAGAGTCCAGAGGAGAAAAAAAACACAAACCACGGTCCTCAATTCAGATTTCACCACTTCGAACCTGCCCTATACCCTCTTCAGCCCTGACAAAAAAGGTTGCATCATTATCCATAGCATATGTTTTGAAACATTTGAAACATGTACTAAACACTTTTCATTGGCTTCCAAACCCATCCATCCCCCGCCCCTCCGACCGAGACCCGGGAGGACACCCCGCCGCTGCCACCACCGGTGAAGCTCCCTTCTTTCAGCTCACGCACCGGCCGTGAGCTCTCGCCAGCGCTGCAACGGGGTCTGCACGTGCCGCTGCGACGCGGGCAGCTCCGGGAAGTGGCCTCGGTGTCCGCTCGGTCGCGGCGGAGGGGGGGCGGAGGGAAGAAGCACGTGGGGGGCATCGGATCGACGTTGTTGCTTGAGGTATATCGGTTCCGATTCCCTCGGGCACAGGATGGGGTTCATCCTTCTTGAGGTATATGAACCTCGGGCACAGGATGAACTTCATGGGGCAATGATGGGAATCAGGATGAAGCCATCCTGCTTGAGGCACATCCTCAGCCTGTCCTGATCCCAGAAGAAAAAGGAAGAACCACTGGCAAATCTAAAATCAAGGTGCTCAGGGAGCTCACTCGGAAAATGAATCCGTCTCAGAAATTGGTTGAAGATGCTACGTGTTGTTTTCTGGTTTCTTCCACCACCGCTCCAAGCTGCTGGAGTCATCCAAGGGGTCATAGCCTCGCTGCGCGTCCCGTCCACGAGGCCGCAGAGGCTGGGCTCTTCGGCTGAAGTTCGGTGAGGGAGGGAGTGGGGTTCTACCAGAAAGGGCCAAGAGAGGTATCCAGTGACCGTACATAGGACCCGGAAAACCTGGGGGGACCCGAACTGGGAGAGCCGAAGAGTCGGGTTCTGACCCACCTCTGCTGTGGTCTTGTTGAAGGTCTGCCCATGGTCTGCCCATGGTCTGCCCATGTGGACCTCTGATCCATCCCTCCGGGTTCGAAAAAATCCAGCCCGGCTCCAGGTCTCGCAGGTCTCAGATCCGGAAGCCGTCTGTGCTCAGATCGGTCGTTCGGAAGCTCCGTGTGGTTTCGGGGTCCTCGTCTGTGAGGACAAAGCCATGGACTAGACCGATTGAAAGAAACCATGGAGGGCCTCATGGTTGAGTGGGTGAAGTATGTAATAACTATCGACTCGCCCGACTCGCCTCATGCGTCAACATATGAAGAGGACGTCCAATTCAAAACGGAAGGGTTTTGATTCATCAAGAGGGTCTACCTTCAGCGACCTTGCTAGGTGGCCGTCTTTCCATCAGCCTTGTCGTCACCGACGTCAACCCGTGCAACGTCGCACCGCTTTGGCCCAGCGTCGGCGGAACCAGGTGCTGTCACGGTAGAGCTTGATGCCTGGCCGTGGAAAGGCCCGGAACCGAAGGATGATGCTGTCTCAGCTGCGAAAGGGTGGAGAAGTTGGGGCCACCAAAACACGAAAGGGTCTGACTAAGTTCATGTGCAAGGTGCAACTTCTGGGCCCTAATGTAGGCTCTGGATGAATCAAGCCCCGCGCTCCTTTGGATTAAGACCTCTTCACGTGCACGGGGGGCTTGTTATTGGGCCCCTCGTTTGCCTCGTTCATGTCCCAACTCGCCTGACTCCCCCCACCCAAAAGTTCTTCCAACATGGTGAGACGCCAGTCGTACCCTCCAAAACCAGTCACTCAACTTCCAACCCCATACATACGCGCAACCCCGCACGCGCTCGGTCGACTGGCTCCTTCAGCTTTCAAACCAGAGATGGCCTCCGCCTTGGCATCCGCCCCCTGCGAAGCGAAAGGCGAAAGCTCCCACGAAGGCCCAAAGACAGGACCAGAAGAAGGATCGAAGTGACTGCGAAGTGACCCGGGTGAAAGGCAAAACTTGACTGAAGTGTACTTTCTTGTCTCTTTGTGTTGGTCTGGCGAAGGGCAAAAATATCTGCTGCTTGAAGATGTTTGAAGGACTTTACCTTTTCTTTGGATTGGGAATCTGACTATGGAAGAAAACTGCTGGGTGCAATGGGGAACCAACGCGTATCAATTGAGCTGTGTGGCACTTCGGGACCAGCCATTCTGCATGAAGGTGTGGAGCCTTCCCCCCCCACCAGCGTTGCTGGCCTTTTCAAAAGTCCCTCGCGAACTTGGATCATCAGAACTTCGGTAGGTCTTGGAGGTTTCTAAGAGGAATATGAGCCTCCAACAGCCTCCAATATGACCATACCAGGGCCGGCCATAAGGGGTCCATGGAAAGTACTAACCTCCGGTCCGAGGTGATTTGAGGTGTCCACTCACCCATCCCACCGACCGGTCCCGGCGCGTTCCCCGCAGAGCTCCGTCCTCGGCCAGTTCCACTGCTTCAGGCAAATGGCTGAAGCGTGAAATGGAGAGGTACAAGACTTCCTGGTCAGGCTGGCAAAAGCCTTGACCTAGAGAGGTTGAACAGCCCATCCTGGTCGCCCATCCCATATGTACCACAGACCAGGGTCCTAGTCCTGGTCTCTCAACCTCTCTTGGGAGTCAAGAGGAACGATGACCTGGTATTCGGTGCTGGGTTGTCCCCTATATCGGTTGCCAGCACATTTCTTCACCTCAAACCAAGCACAAGGCGGCCTCTTACATATGTACCACTCCAATAATTGTGTCAGATGCTCATATCCAGATTTAGTGGTTTCAGAGGTTCGATGGCACGTTTGGGCCCCCAAGATGGGCCTCCATCTAAAAGACCTCTTGCTGTTACATCCTTCTGTTGCTATTGATGGCCAATTATCCATCCAAAAACACCTGCATAGATCCTCGTAACCTAGCGGACTTTCGTACTCACTCCCTGCCTGCCAAACAGGGAGAGGAAAACAAAAGAACAAGGCTCCACAGGCGGCGATCCTCCATATACAACACACACCTTTTTCTCGCCTTCCATCACCCAAAATCAAGACTCGTCCACTTAAAACGACGCGCGCGCCCGCCAGCGCGAGCGGGCTCGCGGCACCCGAGCCCCACGCCCCCACCGGGAACGCGTCGCCGCCCCGGAGCTCGCAATCGCACCTGGAGCCTCTTCAAGTCGAAGGTGGACTGCACAACAGCCGGTAGCCAAAGACGGTAGCCGCCACAGCGGGGGCGGCTAAGGTTGACACCAAGAAAACCACCGATCTCCACAGGGAAAACCGAACTGTATGGGACCCTTCCCTACAGGTCAAGGACATCATTTGACTGGGTTCAGTCATGCAAAACCAGTATTCTATGAGGTTAAGGACCAGGTTTAACTTGGCCCTTGGACTTGCAGGGCTTCTTTCATGGTTTTTGGGGCGTTGGCGTGGCGTTGGCATCGCAGTCGGGTGAGAGGCTTCGCCCGCTTTTGCGGGGTCACCCAGCTTCGTACGGAGTGTCCGGGTACGCTTCGTTGGGTCATCCGAATGAGACCAGGAACGAGGCCCCTCCCAACCCTCTGTCCAGAGCTCGGAGACATGCAGAGTCGGGCCTCCAGGGTGTTTCATGCGAAGTTGGTGGGGCGAGATGATTTGTTGGTCCACTGACTACCACCCGATCCGCTCACATGTCTGACACCCCCCCACCTGATCGCTAGATGTCATAATTGTAAAAAGAAAACTGAATGAAGATGGAAACCCCCAATCAAATCGATAGAAACCAACCTCCAATCCATTCTGCTCTCCGGCCGCACGGCCGGTGGGATCGTCACGGGGTCGCGGTCTACCGAGGTGCCAAACTGGCTCGTTATTGGACGCGTAGATCCCGGGGCGGTCCGGCTTCCGTTCGACCATTCAAAGAGGAAAGGTTGACCTGGGTTTTTGTAGTGCAAAATCCTTAGTAAAACAGCTGGTGGTTCGGGAGTCAGACCATTAAAGCAATGGTTGGCCAGGAAGCCTAGGCGTGCGTGATTTCCGTATATAAAAAATGCACATCCCTCAACAATGGAATCGAAAACGGGTGCAATCCAGATCGTGAAGCGGCAATGGTTGCATCTCAGGGAACCGGCATCTGGAAACAGAGGACTTCTTACTTCAGCCGGCTTCATGTAATGCTGCTGGCCTTGTGGGTGATTGGTGGTTGGCCATAGGGAACCTTTGCAGTGTCAGTATGTGTCAGTCCAATTTTCGTGTGGGTCGGCCAAAATATGCAAACAGTTCTTCTGTACAGCTTGCTGTTTGGAGTGAATGCGGGCCAATTTGTCGTATGGCCCGTTGATGCAAAGATGTGCCTGAAAGGTGTGTTTTTGTGCCTAAACGAGACGGGTTCAGGTTGAGAAAGGTTTGAGACGGTCTTGACTGCGAGCGCGCAACTGCAAGCTTGGCTTAGTGTGGCTCACAAGGAGATATTTTTCTGGCTTCGGGTCAGGAGGCAAACAAGTGGTGGAGTGTGTGCATGTCTCCACCGCGATTGATTCCATTTGTTCTCCCTCCCTGTGGTGTCACACGTCTACGCCTCTCTTGGCGTATGCCATTCATGGAGAGAAGTGACAGCACTCAAAGGGCTTCATTGCACCGTGGGACGAATTCGAAGCAGCTTCTTGTAGCAAGAACCCGTCCTTGCCGACCATCATCGCCCGAGGAGAACTTGTGCTAACCAGTTCTTGCACCCCGTTCTCGCCCTTCGGTGATTGCAAGAACTTGGCACCCTCCTCGCCCCAACCTTCGGGCCAAAGAATACACGTTCTGCCACGAAGAGAGAGAGAGAGAGGGAGAGAGAGAGAGACGTCGGTGCACGAGGCGACTCCAGGGGCGCCGGCGGCCGCCGATTGGGATGACCGGCCCAACGAGACGGCCCAACGCTGAGTTTCAGGGCGGGAGGGCCCGGAATCCCCATGGATGGGACCTGGGGGGAGGTCAGATCCCCAGAGTTTGTTCAAACCCTTCCTTCCACTCATCAACTATCATCTCTATCATCTCTATCATCTCTATCATCTCCTTCTTCTTCTCTACCACCCTGTCACACCCCGGTCACCCTCCTGTCACTCCTCGCCTTGGGACAGAAGGCGGACCTCCCGTGCTTCCGCACCGAGTGGCTACCACTGGCCTCCCAGCCTTGGGCGGTCGCGGCGGTCTGGCCCTGGAACTGACCAAGAGAGGTATCCGGTGACCGTACATAGGGCCCAGAAAACGTGGTGTACCTACGCCCTAGAAGTCCAAAGACTATACTTTAACCGACTGAAGTAAAGGAACGTCCCAGACTCGGGTCACCTAGTCCGACCATTCTTTTTATAGTCTTTGACTCCCAGGGTATGGGATAGTCGAACGTTTGGGTTCTGACCCACCTCTGCTGGGTGAGAAGATGTGCAGCCCCAAAAAGCCTCAGCTGAGCGAACTGGCAGCTGTGTGATCCCGATACCTCTTGAAGGTGGAGATCGACTGTTCTATCCTTTTAGGGTCCAAGAGAGGTGAAGTGACCGTACATAGGACCGTAACCTGGGGTACCGAACTGGGATAGGCGAACTAGGGCCCTTCAACCTCTGTTGGGTGTTTACAAAACGATCTCACTTTCTTGTTTGGCTAGATGAAGCAGCGTTAGCATGCTCTCCAACCGACCTGCTTCGCTACTTCAGGCTAGGCTATACTTAGCTATACGGTCTATACGTCGTCAACCACGGACGTTCCTTCACTCGGCACCTCCTTCTTCACGTGGGACCTCACCGAGGCACAGATCATCTCGCCAATGTCCGGGAACACGGGCAACTGGTCGGCCGAGGCCTGAAAGATGTCCTCGGGACGCTGGGGACCGGACCCGGTGTTCGGTCCCGGTGCCTTCGGCGCTCGTGTCCCGGCACGGCCGGGACAAAGAGGTGGGCACGTTGCAAAGGGGGCGGGGTGTCGCACCCGTAGACGGCCAAGTGAACATATGAAAACAGGTGAAAACCCTTCTCAGGACCATTTCTAAGATCCAAGAAGGGCCCCCCCACCAATTCGGCGAAGCAACGAAGACCATAAAAGACACCACTCACCTTTCAGGTTCCCAGATACCACTCACCTTCTGAGTGTTGCTACAACTCACTGAAACCGGAAGTGGAACATGTCCCCGGATGGAAGACTGTTTTTCATCTGTTTTCTATCCCTACAAGTCCAAAGACCCAGTAAAACCTGGTCCTTTACCTCCTTGAGTAGTGTTTTTGTATGACCAACTTCAGTAAAATAATGAGGTCATGGACTTGTAGGGTATTGGTTTCCTCCACTCTTAGGGTGTTTTCCATGATTGGCATCAGGGAGTTGTTTCTACCCACCTGGACCCGTCGGATGGTCGAGACCATCTCGCCCGATGGTCAGGACGCGCGGAAGCTGTTCAGAGACAAGCTTGGGCACCAGCTAAGGTGTGAGCCTGCAACATCTTGCTACTAACCTGCCAACACAGGTTGAAGAACCCGAACTAGACCAGCCCAGTTCGGTACCCCAGGTGACGGGTCCTATGTACGGTCACTGGATACCTCTCTTCTCTTGGTGGTGGTCAAGCTGTCACCTCAAATGTTCCCATCTCACTGATTATCTGGCTGCAAGGCGGCTGCAAGGCGAAGTCCAACCATCAGAAACCCCTAAACCATCCAAATTCAACCCCTACAGGTCAATGACCTCATCTTACTGGAGTTGGTCATACAAAAAACACCCTGGTTTAGCAAGCAAACGACCTGGTTTTACATGGTTTTACTGGGTCGTTGGACTTGTAGGGGGAACCTCTCTCCTTGAAATGCATTTACATCCATCTAGCAGTACCCATTTTTCCAACCTACAGTACCCCTTCTTCCCCTCGTCTGGCACCCACGGCGGCATGGGGATTTCGAAACGGTGGTCTAAATCTCCAAGTGTCAAAGAGATCCCGCGAGAAGAGCACCGTTTTGTAAGGCCCCTTGGTGCCTGGCGGGCCCGCGGCCAGCTCCGCACGGTCTCCGTGCCCGAAGGCCGAAAAAGAAGCCCCCCGAAGACGGTTTGAGAAGCTTCGCCCGGCCAGTCGGGGCGAGCCATCGGGCCAGCCACCAAGCGGGTTTCCCTACAGGTCAAGGACCAACAGAGGTTAAGTGACCTTATACGACCCTACTGGGGTACCTATGGGATAGCCTATAGAGTCCTTCAACCTCTGTTGAGACCTCATTGGATTGGATCCGGTTGCCCCAGCACCCAGGCCGGTCGCATCCAGGTGTTGAACGCCAGGCCCGACAGGCGCCGGCACACTTGGAGGCGTTCGGGGCAGAGCTCTGCAGACCCCGACAGTCGGTGAAGACGAGGCCCCGCAGCGTCAGGAGCGTCAGGAGCGGGGAAAGCCGTTCGCGCCGGGCAAAGAGTTGGGGAAGAATCCTGCAAACGTCCAGTTTCAAGAACCAACCAGGAACCTGAACAAGTCGAATCAACTTCCTCTGGCAGGGGAGGAAGTTAAGCTCTGACGCAGTCATCACTCAAGGACCCATTGAAATGACGGACACGTTCCAACAATTTAAAAAGGATTAATCGTCAATCTTCTAATCTACACAATCCCCCCCAGGGCAAAGAGATCCACGAAGAGGTGGGCACGGAGGCCTTCCGCAAAAAGAGAAACATGTCCAGGACCAACCCTCTACTCTTTGGGTGATTCACAACCCCTGACCTGGCCCGCCAAAGGATACACGTTCATAGCAAGACACCCTGGCCCTGGGGGTCGCCTGGTCTCTTTCCCTTCAGAGATCTATGGGAGTCCCCCCTATGATAGACCCCGGGAGGTTCTCCTGCAAGCCCGGTGGGCGCTCTTTTTGGGAAAGCCCCGGAGGTCCCGGTCTGGGGCGGAACGCGCCGGCCGACCTCGCACCGCATAGACCCGGACGCGGCCGCAGCTGATCTCCAGCAGCGCCGGTTGCAGGGGTTCATGCTTGGCACCGGCCCATTGTCCCAGCATCGACCTGAAGCAAAGAGATCACATCAGAGACCAAAAGAAACACCTACTACATTACATGGCCATGGTGAATGGTAGTTGCTACTTCAATTGCGCTAGCTCTCCAACGGAATCTACTGGAGTAGCTCTACAACTTGCGTTGCTTTGTATACGTTCCAGGTGGGGGACTTCCCCCCACTGCAATGAGTTCGCCACCGACACGAAACAGGCAACAGTTGCACCAAAAACACGACATGTTACATGCCTTAGGGCTCCAAGTGCCTTCGTTTCGAAGGTGTTTGAGGTGGGTTTGGAGGGTCCAAATACCTTCTGAGGAGGTACTTGGAGCCCTAGGGATGGAGAATCTTTGTCTTCGAGTGTCTCTTTTCTTCCTGTCTTCTTCTTTCAAACATTCGAAGTATCTTCTCTTGGTGCTTTTCACATCGTTCCCACAAAGATATTTCAAAAATCGACCCGCCAGGTCGAAAGCACTCTCCAAACCAACCATCTCCATCTCCACCTCCCCAGCTGGCGCTCTCCAAGTTGCAAGCTCAAGAAGCCGAGGTCATAGGTACGTCGGTTCAGCAGGGCTCTCCACACATCCTGACCGCAGCACGTGTCCCGACGGTCAGCGTGCCACGCCCCCCCGGTGCTGCTTCCACCGCCGACCTCGCCTGGGGGAACTCCATGGTGGCGGCGAAGGTCAACGCCACGCGCCCGCCGAGGCGTTCCTGGCGTCGTTCCGCCGGGCGCCGTTCGGCACGACGGACGCGATCGCTTTCGCTGGTGCGGATCGCTTTCGCGGTCATCAGGCCCTGGGGATCCGAGTGGATCAAGGGCAGCAGGGCCTTGGAAGAAACTAACAGTTCCTCCAAAGAAGCCCATACCGTAGCCCCGGTTTTCGGGGTGTCCAATGATAGCTCCTTAGAGAGGTGATTCGGGATGTGGGACATGTTGCCCTCCATCGACCTCCAAAACCCTCCACCCCGTCACTGCCCGGTCTAACGAGGGGGGCCGTTGGGCGGGAGGCCCGTGGGGCGAAGAAACCTCTGCAAGATCGACCCACTAAGCTCCAGTGTCACCCCCTGTCACCCCCAGTGTCACCCCCTGTCACCCCCCACCACACCATATGCACACAGCACACCGCACCACGCCACAAAACACACACCGCACCACGAGATCTGTTGCACTTGCTCTGAGTGCCGCGCCAGCCGTCATCCAGCCGCCAGCCGTCATCCAAAGGCCGAACAAATCCGACGGGCATCTCGAGATGGTATGTGCAACAGGGCCCTACCATCCAGAACACTTCAGGCCAATGCACTTCAAGGTGCCCCACCGCCCGGTAGCCTGACTCGTTCCTTCTTCCGTTCCCCGCGGCGGAGCCTTCCGGGTCGACCCGCGCCTGGCCGCGGGAGAAGACTTTGAAGGAGCTCTTGAGCTCGGCCTTCTGCAGCAGAGTCGCCACATCCAAGCGTCGGATGGGTTCCACACGTGGCCTAGCGAGCGGCGAAGGGTGGAGAAGCTGCTGAAGCTGCCCAAGTGGATCGGTCGAAAGCCTTATACTATGACCACTGGTAGGCTGACCTTAGTCTACTCACTCGGTCGTCTCTTCCGGCAAAACACCTTCCCCCACACCCCCAGCGGTTTGGGACCAACTCCAGTGCGCCACCACTCACCCCCACGCCTGCGAAAGCGCCAGGGCACCACCCCGTCGGGCATGTGCTCCGGCCCGCTTCGCACCTGAGGCCGGGCGGGGTGGAAGGCTTTCTGGACCCCCAAAAATGCCAGGGAAGCTCCTCGGGAACCAACCCACCTGGAGTGCCGCCCCCCGAGTTTCACGGAGGTCCCGGGGTGACTATACCCCCTTCCCCAAGGGCTCCACCCGATATGAGTCTCGCCCCGCCCCACTGAGCTCCCACTTTTCTGTCTGAGAAAACAGAATTGATTGCCGTGAAGTGGTGCTGTAGTGGGTATAGTACCGGTTCCTCCTGTCTTTAAAAGGTGCTTGAAGTATGGGGCTCGGCCACTCCTGAACGGTTGCGCCACTCCTGCATCGTTCGTTTGGGCAACCACCTGGTCCAACGCCTCCCGGCCGAGGGCACGTTGCGCGGCCGCGGGTAGGCTTCACCCCAGGCTTTGAAGAGGCTTTGGAGATAGGAGCGGCTGATGGTCCTCGGCCGGGTGTGTTGGTGGTGAGCTGGGCTGCGGGAGTGAATAGGGGGGTTGGTTCACGCAGGTGGCCGATGATATGAATTACAACTTACAGTATATTATACAATATATATATATATATATAAGCTTCTAAATCCTAACTATTGCTTCCAACTGCATGCTCCATGGAGGATAGCTCTTCTGCCTCTTGCCCACCCCACCCCTTCCAACAGCTTTCAGGGTGCCCCCGGGCAACTCTGCCACCCGGTTGCCCCCGCCCACGCCACCCTCGCCACCCTCGCCACGCCGCCGCCGTCGGCCGAAGCGGCATGGAGACCTTGGGCTCCGTCGAGGGCTTCAGCGTGAGACCCTGGGCCTCGGTGGCCCGAGCGGCGTGACCGCGACGCGGTGACCCAAGGGGAGGGCGTTGAAAGGGTCGCGTGGGGGTCGCGTGGGGGTCGCGTGGGTCGCGGCTTTTGGGTAAGTGAGGTGACCAGGTGAGTGGTTGTGAGAGGTCTTCCAATGAATGGTTTGGTTTGGGAATTACTCGTGAACCCACCCACTTTTCTCACATCACAGTGGAAATCCAAGAGTATGGCCCGAAACACCCCCAAATTCGGTGACCAAACGGTTCTGCACTCGAGAACGCAGGAAGCAGATGGGACGGATGTCCAAAAAGGTGCCCAAAAAGGATGGAAAAGCCATGCATCAAAGAATCGATTCTAACAGAAAAGAGGATCGAATTTTTTCAAGAAGGATGTGACGAATTCAGAAATAAAAAGGAAACGACCTGGTTCAGAAAGCATGTGCAAACGGTGGGACCTTTCGTGGCCTCCCGTGCTTCCGGCGGGCGAACGGCGCCTGGTCTCGCACGAAAAGAGGAGCCGAGCGTCCAAGGAACAGAACGGAAATGGTCCGGAGGGTGAAAGAAGAAGCAAAAACGAAAAACAACCAGGAGTCACAAAGGAGTGGTTTTTAGTCCCTAAGTGAGTGGATAATGGGCACCCCTAACCTCCATTAAGCACCCCTTTGTGACTGCAGGAAGGTGTTCTTAGGCGTAATGGGGTTCTAGGTGTGTGTGTGTATATATATATATATATGTGTGTGTGTGTTTTGTATGTATTTAAAAAACAATACAGGTATATATAGCAAAGAATGATCAAATACATGACATACCAGGACCCTCCTGTCGGGGTGCTGAAGTGGAAGCCTATAGGTAGTGTGGTTCCTTTTCCTTGTCTGTTTGGTTGGTCAACGGGATGTTCCTTCTTTATCCTTGCTTGTCTTCAATATATAAACAACAAGATTGCCCCACCTGATCCAAGTCCACTTCGATGCTTCCATCCATGGCATCGACCACACCTGCCAGGCCGGCCGCCGAAACACGCACCGCACGTCGCACCACGGCGGGGAGAGTTCCCCGAGTTGAGATAGTGTTTCTCTACATTGAGATAGAACTAGCGTTTCAATGACAGTTGAGATAGTGTTTTTTGGGGTAAATGTCTGTTCAACGTCTTCCAACGTCTTCCAGAATCCATGGGGACCAGAAATCCGACCACGCCATCGTCCGAGCAATTCATGCTTGCTGACTTCTGAAAGCGAAATGGGGCCAAAAAGACGTTACCTCTAAATGCCCCTCAACATTGCCTGAAAATTGTTTTTTTTATTTTTGGGGGTAAATCAGAAGGAAGCGAGAAATCGCAAGTAGAGAAGACTTGCCAAGCTGGATCCTACAACTCAGGTGCTTCCTGCCGAGATCTTGAAGGCCGAAATCAGTCTCTTGAAGGGGAATGCTCTAGTTAACATAGACTATATTAGACTACTAGGACCCACAGTCGGGGTGGTTAATGGACACCCCGAATCACTTCTTTTCGGGGCTATCAAGTTCGACACCCCTGGCCCGGGTGTCCTGGTATTGATTCAGGTCTTAAGACATATGGAATCATCCTGGACAGGTCTGAAGGGGTCTTCCGGGTCCCAATACGAGGGGGTTTGGAGTCATCAAGAGCCTCACATGAACTGCTCTCCCTAGAACTCACATGGAAGTGGAACCCCCCCTGCTGTGTAGAAGCAAAATGCCCTTCCAAGGAACCATGCTATCCACTTCCATGTGACTTCCACACGGCCCTCACCATGGGAACGGCGCCTGTCGTGCTATTCAGCCGTAGTACGGCGTTCCTGGGCGCGGGCGAAGGACGCAGCGCGGCGGGGGATGCTGCTCAGCGTGGGGGGCCGGAACCCTTCTTTTCCCTACGTGCGTCCAGTCTGACCGTGGCGGTCCAAACCTGGTCAGTCGACGACCTCCTGGATAGTATTGGTGTTGTATGACCATCTCCAGTATTTCATGAGGTCAGACTGACTTGTAGGGATTTATAGATATACCAGGGTGTCTCTCCACCTATATGTGACGTACTTCTTGAACGAGTGTGACCATCCATCTCGGCAAAAATGTTGTCCCTAGGGCTCCAACCACCTTCTGAGAAGGTTGGGGTGGGTGCTAGGGGGGTCTAACCGCCTTCTGAGGATATAGTTGGAGCCCTATATAGGGTGTCTTCCCTGAACCCCAGCCCTAAGAGACAGGTGGTGGCACCAGTCTGTTAGTCATCAGACCTTTGCATCGCCTGCCCATTCAGCTGCTCCACACTTCCATCCCCCCAATCCTCCCAATCAATCCACCCACCACCTTTCAGCAAAGGATGTCTCATGTGTCCTTCTTCATCCTCCTTCCGAGACGCTTCACATGGGTACTGAACTCGAAGGCTTCCTCCCCGAAGACGCTCGACAGCGGCAGCCGCAAGCGCTCCAGATCCACCTATAGCGTTTGAGCTGACGGTTGGCCGCCGCGCGGCGCGCGCCGCGGGTCCGGCAAGCTGGTGTTGAAGAGCCGAGTACTCTCCCAGTGACCTCTCCAATAGTGACCTCGTGTTTTTGTCTTAAAGACCGCCCACTATACTCCAAAAGATGATCAAACGTCCTATCAAAAGACCGCGGTTGTCATATGTGTTCATCCCCTGGGCGCATGGGAAGCAACCAACAAACACGCTCCGCGTTTGGCTGGCAGCTTCACGGAGCAGTGTTGGAACGTTGCACCCCACGACTGGGACAAGATCACCAAAACTGCATTCCAACCCAAAGACCCTCCAGTCCAGCAGAAAAGAAGAGGAAGAAGGGGGGCAATATTTAGGCGAATACTTTTCTTGGAGCTCCTGCCAGAGGTTCACTCATGTCCGCAGCGTTTCCGACGGCTTCCTTAGTGCGGAATGAGGGCACACTCACCCCCCCCAAAGCACTGATACCTAGAGAGGTTGAACAGCCCTAAGGTCGCCCATCCCATATGTACCACAGACCAGGGTCCTAGTCCTGGTCTCTCAACGGAGTCTCTTGGTAGAAAGACCCTTCGGATCCAGCCACCCGAAATGCCACCGACAACGCCGACGCTGGGCCTCCTGTATCTTGAAGACCCCCGGCTCTGTCATGCCAAAGCTCCCAGCCACCGTGGACCTGAGCTTTCCACGACGCACTGGTCCGAGACTCCGGGCTATAGCCCGCAAATCGGGGTAAGCCCCTCCAAGTCTCAAATCATGGCAATCCGGCCACAGCAAACCCACCCCACCAACCCACTTGGAAAGACTTCCAAAAACCAAGCCACCATCTCCCCCCCCCCCCCCCCCCCCTCCGCCACCTCCACCCGCCACGGCACGTCTGGTTGGGCGGCGCCAGCGCGTCGCTCACCGCCTTCCCCAGGAAGCACCGCAGCATCCGCTGCGGCGCCGCCGCGCGGCCGTCCGCCGTGACCTGGACGGCGAAACCGAAGACGGCGGGAGCCCAAAGCAGCGGGGTGCTCCTGATCCTATAGCACGACAGAAAGGGACCAAATGGGGGATTCGGTTGAGAAAGCAAAACCCTTTTCCTTTGGGAGGATTGGAATAGATATCTCAGCATATCCCAGCACCGAAACCAACTCAATAGGTCTCCGTAGACGTCACGTCGCGTTTCGGTGACCTGTTGGTCTCGTCACACGGAACGGAGCAGTTTCAAACGGATCCCACAAGAGAAGAGACCGCCTGGAACCAGGGAAGGAGAGAGAGAGAGAGAGGGAGAGAGGGAGAGGGACAGGGAGAGGGAGAGGGAGAGGCAGATGGTATTCCAAGAAGATCGCCTGATATCGCCTGGTTTCTCGGTTGCTGAAGGAGGAACCTGGAAGAACAGCGTGGCAGCATGTCTTCAAACGGGCTTCAGGAAAACCTATTGAGAAGAAACTGGCTCCTGGCTCCGCCTGCCGAGCACTTCCCCGGTCCAACAGCTGCAGGTGTCCCTGGCGCTTCTCCATCCATCTGTCTGCCGTTCGATCTCCAGGCGGAGCGCCTCGGCGCGGCCCTCGTGGACGTTCACGTCCAACTTGGCCTCCAGGAGGCTTCCGTCCAGCAGCGCGCCGCCTGCGTGGCGGCACACGGGCGGAGCGCGCGTGCGCGAAGCATGTTCGGAGCGGCGAAGGAAGTGTTGGGGAGGGGCCGAGGGAACTCTTTGGGGTCGGAGGCGGTCCAGAGAAGGGCCGTGCGCAAAAGAAAAGGCTGGATGCCAACGGAGGTTGACGAACCCTATCATTAGACTATATCCCATAGGTGCCCCAGGTTGCGGGTCCTATTTACGGTCTGGATTCCAACTCAGTTGATTTGGGCCACCCCACCGGGTTTGGGCGTGGGGGTGGGGCTGTGGCCGCCTGTTGGAGTGGCACAGATTCGGGCCCATGATCCGCTCCAGTGGAGCAAGGGGGTGGCAATGTTCAGGGCATCCATTGGCGTGCGGTAGGGGAAGTATATATGTTCATCACATTGGGGCTTGTGATGCATAGTGTTGTGATATATGTTGTGATGCAAACTTGCTCCAGGAGGTACCGAAAAAAGACCTTCATGTATACCGCCCAACGACTGCCGTTGACTGGCACCAAGAAAGAAGATGCAAGAAGGCTCGCAGTGCGCACCGTGGAGACTGAAGTGAGGATGCACATGACTCGCATGACTTACAGCATGCACCTCCCTGAGCTCTCATGCATGTCAGGTCAAATTGAATTCACCAAAGTTTCAAGCAGCCTCTACGACCAGCCTAGGCTCTTTCAGGCCCATCCTGCGGCCTTGGCCTTATCTGCCCATTCGCAGCCACTTGCAGGTCCTTCCCTTGAAGGGGGAAAAGGGACCCTGCCAAAAGACATCAGATTCGTGATAGAACATTCCTAAAAGTCAACAACATGATGTCTTATGGTCCAAAAAGATTTGGCTCAATTCCACCTGTGCTTTAATGTTCCAAAAAGGCATGGCAGTACGCTCCCCACCTCGCTCACCATCCCTCCGCCCGCCTTCGGCGTCCGCTCCGTCCGCGCCCTGTTGGTCGGTGCAATCCACGTAGGACTTCAAGAGGCTCAAGGCCTCCAACTCGCGTCGCTTCCCGAAGGATGCCCTTGGGGCCCGAAGTGCCCCTGTGTTTGGCCCCCCCCCCACGGGTATCCCTGATGTGGCCTACAACTTGCGGGTGTGTATAGTTCAATGTATAGTGCATACACAGACAGGACAAACATTGGTGACAAGCTTGTGAGTACATAACTAACCTACAGCCCTTTCCCCTTATAGAATCCTACAGGGGGTCACAGTGCAATGCTGGCAGACTAGTTTCCACCCCGAAGCAAATTTATATATATATATAGTATTACAATTTAGTTCGAGGTGGGAACTAACCCGCCGGAGTTCCATTGGGAAAGAGAAGTGATGTCAATGACATTCTCGAGTGAAGTTGTTACCGAACTTTCTTCTTCCTGAAGTCCTGAAGTATATATATTATATATATCTATATAATTTCTACATCTAGCCGGCCAACACGCCTCCCACCCCACCCCACCCCAGCCCCTCGCCAGTCCCCGCACACCCCCCGGCGGCGAACGTTCACCGCGCCGAGCAGCGACGGTGTCCTGACAGCCGGCCTTGCACCTGGGAGCAAACCCGCGCGAGGCCAAACAGACGTCGTCTGCTGACTGGTGCGACTCGTAGGGAATGAGGGAATGAACCACCCCTGTAGGCCCCTCTGGATCCATTCCCATCTTCCCTACGAGTCGCACCAGTCAGTCTGAGAACTGAGGATCTCAAAAGAAGCCCAACATGTGTTGATAACCAGCTCCGAGTGTCTGGGAACGGGACCTTTAGACTTGTCATCTCTTCCTGGAAGCCCCAGTGCCAAGCAGAAACAAGTCTGGTTGGAACCCAATATGGCGCCAGCTTGAAATCCTTGACATAGAAAATGGCTGGGACTGTGGGAAACCTCCATGTGTTTCTGGTGGTTTCCCAGGAACATGTGGTTGTAAAGGGCGCCAAATTGCATGGGCGGTCTGCAAAAAACCTGCTGCTTTGGCTGGTTTTGCCCTGGCTTGGCGTGGGTGGTGTTCATGTTCTTCCCAAAAACCCATTGATCGATATCCTTTTGGACAATCCCGGTCGTCACACAACGGGTCTGGGAGCGTCGTGATGGCCTCTGAGCAGCCTCATGGAAAGCTATTGGATCCCGGTATCCCAGGTGACGGGTCCTATTTACGGTCACTGGGGGATACCTCTCTTGGAGGGTTTCACCCAGGTGCTTCACCTTGGGCCATCTTGGGCACACCAAATCCACACCCCCTTCGTCCGAAGAGAACTCGCCGCTCCGCCGGTCGCTCAAGACCCAAAACGACTTGGTCTCAGGAGGGGTCGAATTCTTGGTGTGCACTGAGCCACGCCTGGCCTGTGCTAAGCCACGCCTGGTCTGTGCCGACCTTCAGACCCCCCCTCTCCAGGAAGAACTACATCATAGCACCGACACCAGGTAAAAAATTTCCTCACATCCAGACAGCAGTTCTTCCGAACGGGTTTCCCACGTCCGAACAGGTCCGAGGATCTTGGACTGGTACTGGGGGAACAGCGCGTCTGCTGCCACATCCACCTGGCGTCTGGCGTCGGTCCGGCCACTCTCGGGCGACTCTCGGGCGAGTCGAGCCAGCCGGACGTCGGCGCACCGGGGGAAGCTCCAGAAATCATCGCTCGCGGTGAAAGGATACACCACTACACCACTATGTTTCTGGAGGGAGGGCCCGGGGGCACTTTTTGGATGCACGCATATAGTATATATATATATACACCCTAGAAGTCGAACCACCATTTTCCCGACCACCATTGTTTTTACTAAGGGGTTTACATTACAAAACCAGATCAACCATGTTAAAAATGGTCTTTGACTTCCAGGGTATATATATATATATATATTTATTTATTTTTTTATTTACATACATACGCCCTGCATCCTCATGTATGAGTGGAGTGCAAGCGTTTGAATGCTTTATATCACGAGCTGGAGCACACAAGAAAGTCTTCTCCCCCAACAGAAAAGGACCAAACCCAGACGCGACCCAGACGCGACCTCCGTTCGGTGGGGGCCATACGAATCCTCGGGTCAGGGGTCTGGACGGTCTGGACCCTGAAATCCCTATAGGTGTTTTTTTGAGGGACCGGGAAAGGCCTGTTTTCACCGGAGCGTCTGGGGCAATCAGTTGTCACGATGGATGCAACCGGAAGTTCCGAATTGATCGGAATGGCCTGGGTGATGGCCCAGATCTCCATCTGGACCTCATCCCTCTTGCACTTGCTGAGCCCATCGAACTCGGCGCAACGGCCCCAAAGCGTGAACCTCAGGTCTTCCGTTCGCGGAATCGGAGCGTGACCGCGGAGCGTGACCGCGGATCGGAGGTACCTGAGGAGGGTGCAGGGCGTACATAGGACCCGCAACCTGGGGTACCTAATGGTACCTGTGGGATATAGGGTTCTTCAACCTCGGGAGGGCGCAGGATCTTGGGTGAAGGTGCACAGGATCGTGAACCGGCCGATACGGAACCTGGCTAGCAGGATCCGGAGCTTTAGATACATGCAGCTACTGCCGTGGCTGTACAGATCTTCAAGCACCAGCAGCTTTCGTACTTGGATCCTCCATCTATCACCTGGAAGCATTTCAAACAAGACTTGCCTTTGGATATTATTTGTCCATTCATTCTCGGGGTTCCACAAGTCCCCTCCACCCACTACCACCGCTTTCGGACCGGACACCCCACCGGACGCGCACCCTCTGCTTACCCTCACCCTCGGCTCGCTGCGGTTTCGGGTGTCGCTCCGAGGCGCTTCTGCTTCAGGGGTCCGTCGTGCTGACTCACCTCCGTCAAGACTTGTCCCACGGTCTCGGGGAAGTACTTCACCTCGTCGCGGGTCGGCGCGGGCGCGGTCGGGTAGGGAGAGGACACCGGTGGCGCCCGGGGGGGGCGGCTGCATGGTTTCGCGTCGTGTCCTGCGTCGTTTCGCGTCGTCTCCTTCGTTTCGTTTCGCCTTGCTGGCGTCGACTGTTCTACCGCATGCGGCAATCATGTACAGGGTCGTTCTGGGACATGGGGGGGGCATCTCTATCGTCAGGAGCGAGAAAAAAACGTGCTTCGCCTGCGCTTCGCCGAAAGGGAGAGTGGAAACAAGGGGGGTGAAGGGGATTGCATCCATTGCAGCGCGGGGTGGGGCCGTAAGGAACGCAGCACAGCAGCCACAGTCGTAGCGGGGTGTCCTGTCCAGACATCTCCACAGTCGTAGCGTGGGGGGCGGGCGAAACCAGCCAGGTGACCTTTTGGGTGGTCCTGGAGTGACAGAAAGACGACCAAAGCTCGAAGAGTCGGGTTCTTCAAGCTCTGTTGGGAATGCCCCCGAGTTCGCTCCGAAGCCTGAAATCCTCAAGACCCAAACGGGTGAGTTGCTTATTTCACATAACCATACTTAATAACCATACATATAACGTATAACCATAATAACCATGCATAATAAGCATGATCCATGATGATCCTCTCGGGGAGTGTCACCTCCATGTTCAGAAGACCAGCTACTTTCTGGTGGCTTTCCACTCACCTCTTCTGGCACCGTACTTCACCCCTCACCCAGGGTCGGACCGTACCTCACCCTCTCAGACGTCCGCGTCCGCGTCCCTCGCGCGTCCCTCGCGCGTCCCTCGCGTCCGCGCAGACGAGGCACCAAGTAGTCCCACAGCTCGTGCATCATCCAATCCTCAGCGGACCGGACCGGACCGCCGTCACGACGGGCTTTAGCCGGAGCGAAGGCGCGAAGCAGTGGCCGAAGGAAGGAAGGTTCATATACCCATGGTGGGGTACAGTAACCACATTGAAACTGGGGTGGGTGCTAAACAATGCTAAACATGTTTTCTTTGAAGCCCCACCTTGGATACATCGGACCTGATGGAAACCCTCAGGCGTGTTGAACCCCCAAGCGCGTGGACGACGGCGCGTGGATCAAACGACGACGAGCATCGCCCAGATCTCCGTCGTCAAAGGTGCCGATGAGCACATTGAGCAGCTGCTGGACCGCTCCACCCTCTTCAAAAACCACCTTCTCAGCAGAGGTGGGTCAGAACCCGACTCTTCGACTCTCCCAGTTCGGTTGCCCCAGGCTTTCCGGGTCCTATGTATGGTCACTGGATACCTCTCTTGGTTGCTCAGCCAGAAAAGAGGAGGAAAAACGCCACGAGGGAAGACCCGAAAGCCTGGAGTTCGGATGTACGAGGAGGTGAAAAAGATAGCACCCAACTAAGGTCACGAAAAGGCCAACGCACGGCAGCTCCAACACAGCAGCTTCAACCCAGGCAATTAAATACCTCTATTGGCCTGGTTGGGCCCGGTTGGGAAAGTTTAGGAAAATTCCCCCAAGATGTCTAAGGTTGATTGACTTGTTGGCAGGAACCACATCGCGTGTGCAAAAGCGGACTCCCACACGCCGAACAGGCCAGCAAACCTCCTGCCGCTGCAGCCGGGCTCTTACAAATGGTCTTTCCGGGAGACGGGACTTGTCGCTAGGAAAACGCCTGGCTAGAGGATCTGGAGGTCGTTAGCTGGCAATCGTCTCACCTGAGGCGGTTCCCGAGTCAACGAGAAGCCCACCTTGACATCGGAGAGGGCTCCCACATTCATCTGCCAATGCCCGTCGACGAGATGGAAATGCATCTGGCCCGCAGCACAAGAAGGGGGACAAAGCATACAAAACCGTTTTCTTGCCGAAATGGGCGCGACGGAATACCTACCAGAAAACCCACGGCCCACGGCAGTCACAGTCCAAAGCTATGGGCGTCCGTCTCCTGAAGAAAACCCAGACCATTTGTCAGAATGGGCCAGGTCCCAGGACACCGGCCTCGGTGAGGACCCGGAGGTCCAGCCCATTCAGCACCAGCCCTACGAACCACGTATATCTAGTCAGAGTGCCCACCACCTGGGCATCGATACTTAGCACTGACGCTGGCGATGCATTATGACGACACATTCCCCGAGCACACAATACCCCACGACGACGCATTCTGATGACATTCAGGTCTGGCGACCCAGTACCTCCTGACGACGCATTCTGACGACACATTCTCTGACGACACACTTGGGCCGACGACGCATTCTGACATTGAAGCTCGAAGTGAAAAAGCCAAAACAACACGAGCAACGGATTCAAATCATCGTGATGTATGCTTCTCACATCAATGTCAACTGGAACGTCGCCGCTCCATGGTGAAGCCATTCTCCACTGCTGCCAGGCGAAGAACGCATGGAAGGACCCCTCAAGGAGCAGCGAAATGGCAAGGCAGCTCCACTTCGCTGCGCACAGCCTGTGTCAGAAGCAGCGTTTGCAGAACCCGTGTCTTTTGACAGGAGAAGAAGCCCCTCCAAGTTCCAAGCCCCGGACCGCCAAAATGCAACGATCAAAGAACAGCACATGGATGCGTCAAGTCTCGGATGCTATTTACATTCACCGTCGGCCGCAATGACTTCTATGCACTGAGCGCTCAGCCGACTGGAAAGTGTGGAGCTCTCGCACCTCACATTTTTCAGGGTTAGCAACTCTGGCGATTCTCAGGGGCCAAGCGCCAAATTGAGGAAAGCGAAATATGAAAAATAGAGATGCGCAATATACAAGAGGACAACCTGGAGGTTGCTCGGCGCAGTGGACTTGCCCAACTATTTCCAACACAGATTGGCGCAGCGGACAAAATGACAAACCTGTAATGCCGCACACCCGCGCACGCCTGCCCACCTGTGAGCCCGAAGGCATGCGCGCGCGCGCACGAGATATTGCATATACGGGCACGACTCGCGGTTTGCCACACGCCAGCCTAAGTACAAATCCTAAGGGACCAGGTCAGGATAAGTGTATGTAGAGGCGGTCTGACCATCCTCAAGTACATGCTCAAATCGTGAAAGCCTCCAAGTTCCAAAGCTTGAGGACACGAAAAGCGATCGACGTAACGCGCAAAGTCTGCCGACCTCAAAGTCACCTGCAGCAGCCTCGTCATCTGGAGGAGAAGGTGAATACTCAACATCACAACCAGATCGAAGTGCAGGTACAAGAGTTGGTGTCCCAACTCTCTTCCAACTGATTTCCGTAGCTTCGTTGGTACGGATAGGAAACCCGTCTCCGTGCCCCCTGCAGAAAAAACAAATCATAGAATTGAGAATTCCCTTTGATTCCACGGGTCTCCCACACACACTTACAAATGCGCGCGCGTCCGTCCGCGTGCTAGGTCCGTGCGCACGCGGGTCCTTCGATGACATGACAAACAAATGCCAGGCAAGACACTCGCTCACGCTCGAGCATCAACCTTGCCACAGTTCACGCGCTGGGAGCCAAAGAACTCAAACAAGTGCCAAGTTAGTGGCTGGCTGTGAACAAAACTCAATCATCTTCTTGGCTTTCAGGGGCGAAAAGCGGGGCACTGGTCAAATTCACTCAACAGCCTTTTTCCGCCTCCCACTTCACTACCGATCTTCTTGTTCAGTCGGGCTTTCACACTCAACGGTCAACAAAAACACTAAATCCATCATCAAAACAAACCTTAAGCCTTAGGGCACCATAGGGAGCTTGACCTTTGTGGCATCAACGTCCTTCAATAAGAACCATGTCATGCCAACCCAGCCATGGAGGTCTGCTGGACAAGTGGTTTGTGATGATGAGGGGGCCCAGCCACAATGGTCAAACCTGTATTCACGTTGTCTTCATTGGGCTCATCTGGTCGGTGACTATCTGGGTGGAGTCAGTTGGTTGAATCATCAGGCTGCTGCGCGCTCCTCTGCAGTGCAAGGGAGCGCCGGAAGTCGCCGGCGTCACGCGACGCAGCAAAGGTGGCACCAGGGTACTCTCCCTTGTCCAGAGTCCCGCTGGCCAACCTGTACTATCCTGAATTCACGTTGCAATCAAGCACGATGGCAAGTATCCTGGTTTATATAATCATTATATAAATCATGAAACCAATACTGTGAGTATTGTACACGCCACAGCTACACTGGATGGCAGCTGACAGGAGAGCGGCACAAAATGCGTAAGATTATTTGGGGGGGGAAGTCCGGCCCTTCGTATCACACCTGCTTGCCTGGCAACAGCTTTGTTTTACGCCGTCACATCAAAAAGGATATCGACCTTTTGCGTCACCTTTACTTCCAACCCGTCAACCTTTTTCACGCACCTCCGTATCATACCTTCTGGCCAACCCTTGTCATCTTACTTCGATGGTACACAAGTATCATCCCTTGCAACCACATCTCTACATCATACCTGCATAGCTTTACGCCACACCCATCAAGTGACACCCATTAGCATTACTTATTAGTTGCCAGCGCCCGTGACAACGACCATGATGTTTGAGCGCGAATCTCCACAAAACATGTGCGACCCATACGCAAAGTATAGGAGTAGTTAGTAGCTAGTAGTTAGTAGTAAGTAGTATGTAGTAAGTAGGTAGGTAGGTAGGTAGGTAGGTAGGTAGGTAGTAGAGGTAGTAGTAGTGGTAGTGGTGGTAGTAGAAGTAGTCGTAGTCGCAGTCGTAGTCGTAGTCGTAGTTGTTGTTGTAGTAGTAGTTGTAGTAGTAGTAGTAGGAGTAGTAGTAGTAGCAGTAGTAGCAGAAGTAGTAGTGGTAGTGGTAAGGTGGTAGTGCTAGTGCTAGTGCTAGTGGTAGTGGTAGTGCTAGTGCTAGTGGTAGTGCTAGTGCTAGTGCTAGTGCTAGTGCATGTGGTAGTGGTAGTGGTCGTGGTGGTGGTGGTGGTGGTCGTAGTAGTAGTCGTCGTCGTCGTAGTAGTAGTAGTAGGAGTAGCAGTAGCAGCAGCAGCAGTAACCTTGTACTAGCACTAGCACTAGTAGTTGCAGTCGCTTTGTAGTGGTAATAGCTTTGTAGTGGTAGTACTAATTTCTTTTAATGTATCGATTCCTTTTCTATGGGAATTTATATAATGGAATTCGTCTTAACGGAATTCATCTTCAGGGGGTAAATCGTCTCCGGGGGGGAATTCGTCTTCGCGGAATGTGTTTTGAGAATTCGTCTTCTGAATTCGTCTTCGCCTGCGGGTGGAAAGTCGATACCCGCACAGCGGGTCCAATGTATTTAATAGCCTGACTCCCAAACAGCCATTGTTTTACTAGGGGGGTTCACACTTATATACAAAAACTAGATGAACAATGTAAAAGGTCGTTTCCGGACTTTCAGGGGAGTCCACAGGCTTCAAAACCTTCCGTCCGCACCGGTGGGTAGCCTCGCAGACCTTTGGGTGGCTGGCTCTTCCGCTGACGGGTGGACAGGGACAGGCTTTTTGTTCAACAGGGACCCAACAGAGGTGGGTCAGAACCCGACTCTTCGACTATCCCGGGTGACGGGTCCGTACGGTCACTGGCTACCTCTGTTGGGACGTGCTACCGACGTTCTCCGAAAAGCACCGGAGGCCTCTCGTTCGATCTGCGCATCTTCGACGGTCCACGGCCCCCGGTCGATCGGCGACGAGCGTCGTCGCGGAAGGAGGAAAAGGGTGCCCGAGGGCGGCGGAATGAGGCGAGGAAGTCCCAAAGCCTGGCTTCCTGATGAGTTGGCAAGTTAGACTTAGACCACTCCTTCTTTGAAGAGCAAAGAGAAAAGGAATAATTAAGACCTGATTAAGGATGCGAATGAAAGGTTTAAGTTTATGACATGTTTCTTTCAGGGCAAAACGCGACTGAAATCTTCTGTGGGCGATGTAGAACTCGTAGGCAAAGGTGCACTCTTTTGCCGAACACGTGCCAAGTGGAACAAGTCTATACCTGATGCTCTGCACAACAAGTCGGTGCAAAACACGTCGATATAAGAAACCTTCACCATACCCCAGTCTGGAGCGTACAGGTGGTCCCCAAATAGATAAGTGGAACGGATCGTCCAATCCCTTTTTAGTGGGGATCTACGAACTTCTATCCATTTGGGGGGTCCATATGTATACCAGCAGAGGTTGAAGAACCCTATAGACTGCCTGTAGGGTCCTATAAGGTCGCTTAACCTGTAGGTATATACAGTAATTAGGTGCGGGACCTGTAGACCCTCGCCGGGTGTGGTACGAACCGTCGAGATCGCCGATCTCGCCGCGTCATCGTCCGACCTTGAGCTTGATGCGTGCGTTCACCACCCCGCTGTGCAACAAACTGCTTCTCAATTCGCCATCGGTATCGTAAATGTTCCAGAACCTGGAAAGCCGCAAATGACGAGCAGCAAGAGCCGAAGAGCCCCCCCCAAGAAGCCTATGCATATCTCAGTGACCGGAACCCCGCGTTTCTGTCGCGCCACTACAGGTAGCACGGAGCCCTCCGTTTCTCTGCCCGAAGGCAGCGCAGCACATTGAGAGGGGGGCGGAGGCCCAAGCTCGGACACGAGACGAGTGGCAGACCTCTTAGGACGGGTTGAATGATGATGGACTGACCAGGGCAAAGCGACATGTTGGGCTTCTTGGCGGGTAGGTACAGGGTTGCCAAATGCTGAAATGACATGAGAGTACCATCCTGAGTCGGTTCTTTGATGTGTTCCTTCCAGCCCAATCTAACATGAACAAACCTTGTTCCCGACCACTTCTTCACGCACATCCCCTCGGCTTTCATTTCCCTCTGATCCACACCCCTACCTTAGATCCCCCCATCTCATCCCATCCAACCAAAGCGCGGCAAAATGTGCACCGCGCCCAACGCACGCAGCAGCATGCTGGAGGTCGGGTAGTCGGAGGCCGCGAAGTCGACATCCTGTAGGTAGATCCTCGGAAGAGCCAAGTCCACGGCGGAGAACGAGCGAGCGAGTGAAGACATCCCCTGGCAGAGGATGTCTAAGCCGTTACGTGGAGTGATCACCAGCTGCTTGGTGGTTTCGCATTTCAGGGTGCGAACTCGGAGCCATGCCATCCCATCCACGTAGCCTATGTTTGCACTCGCCAATGTGGTCTCCTAGACACCCGGCCGAAGAATCCACACAACCATTGGTCTAAACGTAGTCCGTAGAAGTCGAAGCACCATGTATTTAATAGCCTTCTTCCGGGACAACCATTGGTTTAACACCACAAAAACTAGATCAACCAACCTAAAAATTGTCTTTGACTTCCAGGGTGTTGGTTTCAACCACGCATCCGTAGAACCCTAGAAACCCACTTCAGGCCTGTGTTGTCTTGAGAAAAGGCATTTTCTGTGTTTTTGGCGTTTTCCTGGGCACGTTACATAGGGAAGTTGGACGAAAGGTGAAAGTAGCAGGCGCCGCTTGAGGCGCCTAACACAGCTCCAAAACTCAGAAGTGACAGTGGCAGCGATGCCACATGCCACAAGCTGGCACACCTAATTCTAGAACTTCCACATGGCATCACTCTAATACTAGATCTCTGCTTCAACTCTTGCACACCTCCACCAAAACCCGCCGTTTGCCGCCGAGCGGCCGGAGGCCCCCAGCGCCGTTCTCCTTGGGCCCGCCCACCTCCAGGCTGAAGCTCGTGTCGCTCTCGCGCAGCAGCAACAGGTGCAGATCCGCCGTCCTGCAGCGACGAACCACGGGTCGCGTCGGACGAAGCACGGAGGGTGGCCGTGGGCTGTGACTGCCTATCCTTCGTCGGCTGGTCAGAGAGGAGGGTGTTGGGGAGGCTGGGGGCTGGGGAGGAGCGTGTTGAGTCAAATTAAGCCGCAGGCTCCACTCCTGGTGGTGCCCTTCCGTCAATTCCTTTTAGTTTCAGCCTTGCGACCATACTCCCCCCGGAACCCAAAGACTTTGATTTCTCATCAGGTGCTGAAAGAGTCATAACTTTTCTGACACCTCTAGCTGAATATTTCTCAGACCTAAACGATCGATAGGCCGTGTTTTCACAGTTTAGTATTCGTACTGAACATGAAAAAGAAAAAAACAAGCTTTTCCCCTTTTGGTCCACAGATTTCTGTTCTCATTGAGCTTACCTTAGGGCAATGACATGATCCAGAACCGAAGTCAGCCCCGAGCGAAGTCGCCTACAGACCGTCGATGCTCCGACGTCCGACGCGACTAGGGCGACTCGGGAGAGGAGAGGAGGGGAGAGACGTCTTTCTTCTGCAGCTTGCGGTGGTTCATGAAAGAAAGCAGGATGAAAGGAAGTTCAACGAGGTGTTCCTGGATGTTCCTGGATGTTCCTGGATCTTCCAGAAAGCAGGATGTTCCTGGAAGGTGGAAAACCCTTGGGGAGTTCTGGCTGCGGTTTTTTTTTCGAAGCAATCTTGAGGAGTTCAACGAGGGAGTTGGACACCGCTCTTAATTGTGCTTATTGTTTTCTTGTGTTCTTCTTCTTGGGCAGGGGGTGGTTGAGGAAGGAACATGAAGGAAAGCCGCCGCGCCGCTACCACACAACTCCATCACTGGTCCCCTCACTGGTTCATTCAAGAGGATCCATTCAAAAACACTCCCACAGACTCTTGGCTTCAGGGGCGTCCAATTCTGCCCAAAGACCGGTCTCAACGAACCAGGGCGCCCCCATCAAGTCGGACCAGCGATCGAGGTCGCCGCGGGGCCGTGCCCCCCCCCCCCAACGTCGCCAAGGATCAAGAGCTGCATGCGCTTCCTCGGTTTTTCACATGGAACTGAACACAAGGTATGACTTGGGTCTATCCGAGTCTACCTGGGCCTCAGTGGATGATGGTTAGGTTTCAGGTCTTGTTCAAAAATAGGTAAAATTTGTTACAGGTAATAGGACAAACCCAAGGTATGGTCATAAACACACGTCTTTCACGGCCGAGGTTGATGAGATGAGGGTTCACGGAAAGATGGCTACAGGCTGGAAGTAAGCCGATGTTCTGATCTTCCCCACCGATAAACTGGCCAGTGGTTGCGAAACACCGCGCAACTAGCCTCCGAACAGCTCCCTATCTAGTTGCCTCCTGACCACCCACAAGTAAACATAAACATGTGGCTCCTGTCCCAAGATGTTCCAGGACAAAATGGAAGGGAAACCTCGATAGTCACCTGGCGTTCCACCATTTGTTCTGAGGGGTACGCTGCAAGGTACCCCGGTTGGTATCCCGGTTCACCTCCTTCCTGGGTTCGAAGGAGCCGCGCCTTTTTGGTCTAGGGTAATTTTCAAGCGGAAGATAGCTCAAGCAATCTCTCGAAACCAAGAGCCATCCAAGTTCAGCAGTTAAGTCACTAACCTGGCCAGTATCGCGGCTAGTAAATTTGAGTGTCCAGCAGCTCCCTCAAGCTACCCTGGGTTGTCTGCGATTTCTGCCGCATGTGGCCACAGGTTTGTTGCGTCTCTGTGTTCCACCACCAACCGGGCCCCCCCGCCATTGCCACACACCGTGCCCGTTCGGCCGAGGGGCACTTGGACGAAGACATCGCCCAGCGCCTTGGTCGGCACCGCCAATTTCAGCACGGCCGCGTGGTGGTGCTCGGGCGGCCAGTGCAGGTGCATCGCCTCCTGGCGTGTGCAGGAACCGGTGCTGGGGGTGACTTGTGCCTGTCTCACCTACCTACTTGGTGGACAGTGGACAGAGCCACTTCACCAGGGTACTACTGCTACAATCAAAGCATAGCAAAGCTGATAGAATGTGGAAGGTGGAGGAAATCCAATTCTCTACCATCTCTGGCAGCTTACCATGATTTTGGAACTCTGCAGGGAGGTAAGACACTTACACCCACCTGATGCACAAGTGACGCGACACTTCCACTCGTCCACCCAACAAACTGAACCGCCCCCATGATTGTGCCTTGTTGGAGCATTTCTTAGGGGGTCTTGTTTCAAGAACGCGGACAACAAGAGCTGCAAGTGGATGTGCAGTGGGTCCAGTGAGAACTGAAATCGCATCCTCCGTGTCCCAGTGCACCAATCGACTCACGAACATGGCCATTGAGATGTCACCTTTTCATCCTTCTCGTGGCTATTGGGGCCCAAATGGGCTCTGCCTTGCACAACTAATCAAAGGTCTACAGTGATGAAGTTCATCCGCTCGCATCGAACCCATGGTTTCATCCTGACCCTCTTGGTATTTCAACAACATCCGTTGGCCCAAAAATAGACATGACCTCGAAACCCCCAAATCAACCTATCTATAGTCAGCTGCTACTCCACTGGTCCCGTTTGCACCTTCAGACTGCTTCCCTTTGGGCTCCCCCAGCTATCTCTTTTCAACTAGCTAGCTTGGTCTTCGTCCTCGTCCTCGTCATGTCCATGCCCACGGCCCCAGCGGACTCTTGGAAGCTCCGTGCCTCGGCGCGGCACTTCAGCAGCTCCTTGCTTCCGTGCGGCGGCTCGGGCTCGCTCGGCGCGCGCGCGGCGAGCCGCGCCGCGCGCAGGGAAGAAGCACGCGCCGCCTCCACGGCGCGTCCACAGGGCGGGCGGGGGAGATCTGAGAACGAGCATGCATTTGACAATCCATGATTAATTGATATGTTCGATGTGTATTAATCATTAATTAATTAATTGACAATCCATTGATGATATGTTCGCATGCATTTGACATCTTTCAATTGTTCATCGTGTACAGGCAAGACCATGTTTCATGCACTGTGACGTTTGGACCCTAACAGGTGGCCGCTGTTCCACACGCGGTACTAGACGTGGTGAACCACCGGATCGGCGCAAAGGGAAGGGATGCGGCCGCCATGCGTTGGATGGAGCTTAAAGACGCGCAGAGGACTGGCCAAGCAAACTCGGTCGGACATGGCAAAAACCCAGCATATATACCTGCTTCTCCGATACTTGCAGTAAGAACCCCAAGGGTTTTTTTGCGCTAGCTGGGGGAGAAAAAAGGGCCACTTGGAATGGCATGGCCGAGTTTTTTGTGCATCCATTTCGCTGGAAGACAGCTGGAAGATCCGGCCTCCGTGGCCTCCTCCTGAGAATGGGCCTCCACCCTCGCCCCGCTCGCATCACCGGCCGTGCCAGCGACCCTCCGCGTGCTCCGCGCGTGCTCCGCGCGTTCCACGTGGGTCGTGGCGTTGGTTTCAGCTAAGCTGAAGCTGATGGTCAACGCCTCCAGCCGGCGGCGGGGTCTCGGTGCGGAGGCGCCATCTCGACCCAGACCCACCCGCAAAGAAAGGTTGAAGTTGAATCAGCCCCAAAAAGCCGAAGTTGATCCTATATGTGTATGTATGTATATATGTATATATATACATGTATGAATATACCTAGAGGCTGACTGACCTTTGTTTTGATAGGAAGTTTGACCATTTTGGGGATAGTTGATCCTCCAAAACAGGGGCCAGGCTCCAGGTATATATAAATATAACTATATAATCTCTCTCTCTCTCTCTGGCGGGCATGACTTGTCCCGTCTCACCCGGACCAAGGCAGCGACACCGGGAGGAAGGTTCAAAAGGAGACGGAAGGGCGTCATGATAGAGGACCCCACAAAGCAGAGGAGCAAGCCATCGATCCCCCGTCACACTCACCAAAATGCCAGCCCATGTTGTGTTGGTGCTGGATCAAATTCTTCCAGCAGAATTTATGTCTGTTCATCGGTCCAACATGGTCCAACCACCTAAACGGTGGTTGCGCTCTTTACAGCTGGAAGGTCCAAGTGAACTACGGCCAAAAATGGGTGGAAGATCCCTTATATATACCCGTACCCGCTGTGATACTGGATGGCTGTACTCCAACTAGTACATCCTTCCATTTCATGGCTTTTGGTCGTAGCTCACTGACCTCACTCTATGCAGAATGTGTGCCTCTTGGCTGGCTGAAGTGGATCCAAACTGTCGTTTGGAAGCATTTCATTGTGGAGAATCTCAATGATGCCACTGGAACATGTTGAATCATCAACAATTTGTTGACGCTTGAAGTGGGCCCAGGCCCCAAAATCATCAGCAAAATCTACAGTAAAGTACCAAATTGAATCAGTACCAACTTGAATCCCCCCACCCCATCCTCCCAACCTCCTCTCCCTAAGACCACAGACATGTCCCCACATCGAAGGGGGCGTGGACCCTTTCCACTCCAGACGCCGCGGCGGAACCGCATCGAATCGCCGGAACCGGGTCTCCCCGTGCGTGTCGCTGTTCTCGCTCGGTCTCGTGCCGGTCTGGGTCCGCACCTGCTGGAGGTTCATCTGTCGCACGCCGGGCCGAAGCACGAAAGGCTCCTGGGACGGTCGACGCGGAGCGACCCTCCGGGTTCAACGCTTCGCGAGGAGAGGAGCACCGCCCCGGGTGGGTTCGGAGCCGGTGGCCCGGGCCGCGGAATGCGCGTCCGGACACAACGGCGTGTCCCTCGAGGCGGCGGTCCTCCCTCCAATTCGGTTGCTTGGTTACCAACAGAGGTTGAAGGGCCCTATAGCCTATCCCAGTTCGGTACCCCAGTAAGGTCCTATAAGGTCACTTAATCTCTCTTGGTAGTGGGCTTTCAGAAACCGTTCAGCCACAGCCCAAGACCCAGCAGTCACAGCGGGGGTGCGATGCATAGAGGTTCGGGGATCCAAAAAACCACCCCTGGGCGATGGTGGAAGGGTTGGGCGGCTTCCGCAGCGGCATGGGGTGCCGAAAGCCCAAGTCTACTGGGCCCGAGGCACTCTAGCATCATCCCAGGCAATCTATCCTGTTGAAATTAGTACCTTCAGCATCCTTCAGCATCCTGCACTTGGAAAGGCATGAAGCTAAGGAAGCGATCGCACTTCCTGGCTGAAACTCAACCTCCAAATCCAACAACAAGCTCCGTAACAGAGGTTGAAGAACTCTATAGACCATCCCAGTTCGGTACCCCAGTAAGGCCCTATAAGGTCACGTAACCTCTCTTGCTCCACCCCACCCCACCGCACTTCACCCATCGGCCTCCGAAGCCTCATGGCTGCCATAGGCCCACCCGGGCGCGCGCACGTCGCGGAAGCGGCGGTGCTGTGCGAGCAGCGCATCGTAGAGATCTGTGGCCTAGCAGGGATGTCGATGGATCAAGCACGTGGACCCACCAGCGGTTAATGGACACGCCGAATCACCTCTAAGGGGATATCAAGTTCGACACCCCTGGCCCGGGTGTTCTGGTTCCATCAAAGACCTAAACCTTCCAACTCTGCACCATGTTGGCCTTTTCATTCGAGAAAACAGCCGGGGACAAAAAAGCAGAAATGTTGCATTTTTGGAAGGTCTAGAGTCTAGGTATGATCCATATGCCTGGCGTGGCACCAAAGGTGTGGCGCCCCGAATTGGGGGTGAGCCACAGCCAGAGAGGATGAACAAAGGAGGTCCATGTTGGGGTGCTTCTCCTTAGAGTTGAAGTTCGCTTCTGAAGAACCTGTGGATGGATAGAAAGTTCCTGAAAGCTCCTGTGAAATGTGCTCCTTCTCTCGGCATCGAGCGGGGGGGGTGAGCGATGTGTGTCTCACTTGGAGAAGTTCCCCCGGGCAAGGCATCTTTGAGTTCCTAAGTCACTCAATGCACCGCTGGAGCTCGGAGCTGGAGCTGAAGTCGCATCGCCCGTACCCGGGTCCTTTCGGCTCACGCCACGGATCCATCATGATTCACATGGACCTACAGTGCCATCGACACCGACCACCTGGTGCCCCCATCGACCTCGAAGAAACACCAAGCTGGCGCGAGCTAAAAGGCGAAGCCTCCGGCTCACCACCACAGAGCAGGTACCAGTTTTTTTGAAGTAGCCCCACGACTTGGAGCTCGCGAAGGTCCTGAGTTGCGCGGCATCACCGAAGCGCCGCCGGGCAGCTGGATGGGAGTCGGTCAGGCCCCCGTCACCAAGCTTCGTGCCCACCAGGACCGGCACCAGCACCGCGCGGCGTAGACACGAGAAAACGCGCCGCAGCGTTCCGCTTTTCACAAGGCGTTCGCACAATCTAGACACCTCCACTAAGTGCTACCAAGCATGGAATGACATGGGGAAAGTGGAGCACCGAGCGACCTGGCGGGAAATACTCCAGGAACGCCCGAGCCTTGAGCTCCTTCGAAACCCAAGTCAGACGTAGTGGGCTTCGTTGCGGGGCGTCCATTCACCATCCCGTTTCAGGTGCCCCAAAAAGAGGGTCACGTTCTGCACGCCTACGAAAAAATCGGCCTGGAAAAGCGGATCACGGGACTGACTTCGATGATGAGCAGCACGGGTTGGACACAGGAAGTCTCGTGCCGCAGCAGGCTCTAAGAGGATGAAAAAAGCGACATCACCAGCACCACCTAAGGGGTGGACGACATAGACCCCCCGTGCAGAGGCATATTCCCATCCAAATATCTCCCGCCCATCATCCAACAGCCCCACCCTTTGGGTGCTGGCTACGTCGCGAAGGGCCTTTTTTTGGCTTCCCGCTTCGGCCCCCGCCGAGCCGCAGGCGGAGGCACTGCATCTCGTCCTTCGTCTCCAAGGGGTTTGGCTTCCGGAGCCCGGACAGGTCCAACAAGATCCTCGGGGGGCGCGGCGTCGGTCCTGGAAGAGGGACCCGCGCGCGGTCCAGCCGCTCCGCGCGCCTCCCCCCCGGCGCCTTCAAGGACGACCATTGTCCCTTAAAAGGGAACGACCTGGTTTTCTATAGGGAACAAGCCCCTAGTAAAACAATTGGTGCCTATTGAATATGGTGGTTGGAATCCTGGGGTGGCCTGATAGGACCCGAATTACCTCGGGTCCCGTGATGGGATAGTCGAACAGTCAGGTGTTTCAACCTCTGGTGTGCGCCGAATGCGCGGAGACAGTGCTTGAGCTGCTGAGGGGCCAAGCAGGCCGCCGCACCTGCCACCTCTCAGGTCCACAGGATTCCAAAGCATCTGCCATTTTTGTCAGAACCCTACCAGGGGCCCAGAAACCATCAAAAACCTTGTTTTCCCTAGCAAGGAACACGGTTTTTGTGTGTGAAAACCTTTGTTTTTCATGGTTTTGAGGGCCCCTGGTAGATAGTTATATAGACTATCCCATGGACAGTTCCCCCAGGGTAGTAGTTCGTTTCGGTCCTTCTTTTTCAGAACCATCTTGAACAAAAAAGTGTGTTTAAAATCGTCTTCGATGGCGAACGGTGGAGGTGCTGACTGGTAATTCTCCTTGTTAACCCGACTGTGCGACGATCCCACGCACAGGTCACCCAGGACTTTTGGGGGTCCTATACCTCAGGTCGCTGGATACACACCTCGAGTTGATGAGACCTGTCCTAGTCCATCACGTCACACGTCATCAATCGGTCACATCTGTATCGCCCTCATGGGGAGCGAAGAGCTTCGTTTCTTCACGTGATGCGAAGAATGGAGCTCCCTCAAAGGCCTGCCACTCAGGCTACACAGGACACACGTTTGATTTCTTCATCATTGTCCTCTGATTCTGTCTTATTTTGCTACTGGAGGCTATTCGGTCAACAATATAAACCTGTCCAATAAAAATTGTCTTACCTTACTCAACTTACCTTTGTTAATATTCATCTACTTGTCATGTGCAATGAATCACCTCAGGTCGGGGTTGTACCAAAAATGACGGTGTTTCTCTTGGCCCTTAGACCTCTGAGGCTAGCAGAAAGCCAATATGAATGGCGAGGCTAACGGCTAGGGCTCCGAACGACGAAAAGCAACCTCTGCCCCAACTCGGGGCACAAGCGCCCGCCCGCCACATTTCAGCATTTCAGCCTTGCTTTCGGCACAGCTGAACACTCGACTTGACCGCCGGGAGAAGTAGAACCCCCCGCCAGCACCCATCCACGGGCCCAAATAGCGCCAGCCGAGCTGCTGATAGGAGGGGTTCAAGCGCTCCAGCTTGTCCAGCGGCAAAGGCCACTGGATGACCCGAAGAAAGCCACAGTTCAGCACCACGATGACGAGGCCTAGCAGCCCGGAGACGCTCAGTGTCTCCGGTGCGCAGTGCGGCGCCGCGTTCGGAGCCGCTTTCTTGGACGACCGGAAGAAGGGAGTTCCGGGTCCTGGCGCCTGACCTGGGTCGGGGTATCGAGGTATGCCGGTTGGTCGGTGGTTTGGAGAGATCTCCGATATGCTGGAACCGAGGACCTCGGATGCCATCTTTTAGGACAAAAATCTTATCCAGGAGTCACAAGTACGGGGTGGTGTTTGGTCCCATCCAGTGAGTGGATGTTCTGGGCACCTCTATCCTCCATGGATCGCACCCCGTATTGTGACTGCTGGATCAGACCTTTAAGTCAAAGGAACTTCCTGGAGTCATCTTGATAGTCTTGGACTATGATACAAGACTAGTTCTAACTAGTTCTTCCTGGGAACTTCAGACTCTTGATAACCATTCTAAAACTAGTCTTGGACTCCCAAGGTCCTTTTTGCAATCGACGGAGTTCGATTGAGGTGTATGTGGAGCTTGGGGTCGATTCACGAAACCCTCGGGGGAGTGTCGGGTTCACCACGACATGACGATCGGGGCTGCGCACCCGTTTTGCTATGCGCTCAAGGGCCCTAGCGGCGGTACGTGAACATGTGCAAACAGCTCATGGATGCATGCCGAAACTGCACTCCCTATTATGTAAAAACTCGTGAGAAGCTGGTTCTTCGATCGCTTTGAGTGCAATCCGACTCTCATCCAAAAGCTCTCGGAGCAAAGCAGGTGCTTTCTGCTTGGTCAAATGGTCGGCCATTTGGTGGTGCGTATCCACCCACTTGTAAACCTCGGCCAACTGTTCCTGCTGCTCATCAAATTCTGCGGCTGTCTCTTTGAGACCGCCTATGTCTATTGCCAGTCTCTTCTCCTGGGTGGTGGACAAAGCGCTGTCTTTGACCAACAGGTCGTACAGGCTTCTGCAATCCGTTGCGGCCGCCATCGGGATGAAGGAAGCTGGCAGGCGACCTGACTGGCAAGGAACATAGTCCTGAATCAAAGCTTCAGCAAGGATCTCCCGGATGTAAAGGCCGGAGTCCACAGCTGCATCGAGGCTCATTGTCTCAGCGGCCAACGTGGAACGGCATTGGCGTTTGATCTTGTGAGATCGCCAATCCATCAAGGAAGCACGACCACCATCGGCTGTCAAAGCCGTGTCTTCCGCCACGAACACGAGGTATCCGGCTTGCGACCGAAGGCCCTCTGTGTTGGCAAAGCTGGCGTCCGAAAAAACAACCACCATGGACTTCTCCAGGTCTATGGGGCGGAACTGCAAGGCCCAATCTTCGGACTGCTTGGCCTCTTTGAGAAGCTTGTTCAACTGCAGCAAGCTTTCGACGGTCGGCTGACCTGACATGTGCATGGAGGTGCCCGCTGCAAGGTCGGGACGTGTCTGTCCCACGATCCAGTGTAAGCAACCGCCTACACTCCGCAGCTCGGTCATCTCTGATGCCAGCAATGGGGCATTAGGTGTAGCCGAACGCCACTTTGGCACTGGGGTCACTGATGTAGCCCTGATGAACTTGTCCTGACTGAGGAGGATCGTGCCATCAGACTTGCGGCGGATCTGCTTGCCACCGTACTCAAGGACATCGTCGGTCCGATCATCAGCCCATGCTCCAAAGTCGAATGCTTGCTTGATCTGATCCAACACCTGGTCGGCGGTGCCGGGCTCACCTGTGCCAAGGAGGTCATCGACATGTGCACCAAGGGCCAGAATGAGGCGCTCATCCTTGTAGTAGAAAAACATGGCCCGATCGAGTGTGCTCTGTCGGAAACCGATCTTGATCAAGGTGTCCCTCAGGTGTCGCCAGAAAAGTCTTGGCGAGTTTGCCAAACCAAAGATGCCGCGGACCACCATCATCAGCTGCTTTGGGTGCATGCCAGGCAAGCCCTCACGAGGCTGCTTCAGGAACAAAGGTTCTTTCCTGGCTGCCAAGCTCTGATCTCCTTGAAGGAAAGCTCCGGTGATGTCGGAGTTGAACAGGAACCAGCCCGGATGTGAAGCTGCCAATTGAAGCAAACAAAACATTCCAGCCCTGCTCATGGTCGGAGCGTCTCTCCGGAGTGTGGTCAAGTCAGGGTCCTGGTCACCACGGCAAACCAAACGAGCTTTGTGCTTCACAGGGAGCCAGGGATATGCTGCATTCTTGTTTCTGTAGCAGACCCTGGTGTTGAGGATCCGTGCAGCATCAACATAGTCCTCGACGTAGCGGGAGGCCTCGAGGTCCAAGACCACAACCGCGCCATAGCGGAGCCAAACACTCCACTCTTTGACCAAAGCTTCACGGTATCCCTCGCGCTCCTCGTCTGGGATGAGGTGCCATGGGATCTCCTTCTCAAGTTGCTTGAGCTCCTTCCGCGTGGTGCAAGCGATGCGGAAGCGCGTCTTGCCAACCCAAGCACAACCCTTATCTGGTTGCATCTTGTCCTTCTCCCAAGTGTCCTCGACGATCTGGTCCTTCACGGAGTCGGGGTCATAGGTGAAGGTGGTGTTGACAAACTTCAGCTTGGTCTGTCGAGCTTGTCCCAAGCGGTGTGGGTTTACCGGTGAAGCCATGGCCTCATAAGGGGAAAAGAGGCGCCGTCTCGGCTTGTTGTGACTTCTCACCAACCACACTCGGTCATTGGAGACATGCCATTTGTCTTCTGCAAGAGCTGCCGCTAGCACTGAACTCACCTGCTCATCCGGCACACTATCGGTCTCGTGGAGTGGGCGAGGAGGTGGTTCAAGGCCCATGTCAAAGTCTTCATCGTCTGGCACCGGAATCTCGTGAGGTCGAGGCTGATGAAGCCCCTCATCTGCTCGCATCCGCTTGGCCTCAGGCTCTTGTGCTTGTTGTCGTTCGTGGTGGGCTTTGAACAAGCCTGAGATGGGTGTGCCTGGAGCACGTGAATGCAAGTGCGAGCTCTGATGCGGTTGAGTCGCATCTGAAGGTGCTGACGAAGCTGCCGGCTGATCTGGTACTTGTTGGTGTCCAGCTGGAACTTCAGGAGGTTGAGGAGGTGGTAGTGTCTCTTCTGGCTTCTCCTCGGGGCCAGCAGGCTCGTAAAGAGGAACCTGTATGGCTTCATGGTTGACCTCCTGGTCATCGTCCAGCATGGGTGCATCTCCTCTCTCGTCGTAGTAGCCGTCGGGCATATTGTCCTCTAACCATTGCAGATCGTCTTCAGCTATCGGCCAGAGTTCTGTCCCATAGGCTGGTCGAAGTTGTTCGAGAGAGACCAGGATGCATCTGCCATTGGAGGTGACCCAGTAGTTGGACTGTTTGCCTTCTTCTGAGCCTTTCTGAGGCCCGATGATCGTGCCTCTGAACCAGCCCGGTTGCACGAGCTTGCCCTTTTTCTTCTTGATGTTCCTCCAAAAAGCTACCAGTTCACCGGGCTCATAACGTTGGCGAGGTGGTCGACTCTGTCTCAAGACTGCTTTCTGCAAGGCTTCGTTGGTCCGGTACTCGGAGATCAGGGTGTCAGCGCGAGATCGCACTGATTGCCTCCAGCGTAGTTGGGAGTCCCGGTCCATGCCCATCAAAGCTTCTGCCTTGCCGTCAAAGTCAAGGAGGTCCGCAGGGAAGGAAGGGTTCCGTCCAAAGACCCATTCGTTTGCGGATGCTCCGCTCATGCGGACTCTGTCATTGAGTGAGGCTGCCACTTGCGCGCCCAAAAGGCGCATGTCTTGCTCGCCCTTCACCTGGAACTCATCAATGAGACGGTTTCCAACGTTGCGAAACGCCCGGTTGAAGGCTTCAACATCTCCGGACTGCCAATGAGCCTCAGCGGGGATGTAGTCCAGCTCGATGCCCATGTTGGTCAGCTTTTCTTGGAAGATGCCCTCAAAGGCGCCGTCTCTGTCGAGGCGGATCTGTTTTGGAAAACCGGCCCAATTTGTCCAAGACATGGCGAAGGTGTCCAGAGTGGTGGCGGGCTCGCGGTTCGGCACCAAGGCGAAAACATTGAAGCCGCCAGCTGGATCTAGCACGTGCAAGTAGTTGAACTTCTCGCCATCCACGTCGTGGAGGTAGACAAAGTCTATGGAGAGCTTGGTGTTGAACGGTGGTGTGCTCTTCAGTGAGGAAGGTCTCGGAGGTAAAGGCCTCTTGGTTCTCTCACATGTAGCGCACCTCAAACGGCGTGACAAAGCCAACACCTCTGGTTCTAGTCGATCTTGCTGAGCCAATGCCCTTGTGAAATCAGGCTGTCTTGGATGGCCCAGGTTGCGATGCATTCTGACCAATGAAACGGCCAGTTTCTTCTGAGCGCTGGTCAGCGGAGGGCCCACAAACCAACATTCTCCAGCGAAATCTTGCCGCACCAAGCCTTCTTCTTGAAGAGCGGTGTGCACGGGATCGGCCACCGCAACAAGGTCTTCATGTAGATGTTGTTCAGGAGCTAGTGCCGCTGGTGAAGGTTCTTTTGGCTCACCCGGGGCATACCCGAGGATGAAGATGGCCCAACGAACTGGAGTGACAAAACGTTCACGAGGTGCTTGAGCGTCCGGCAAGTACTCGGTCTCAATGGTCAAGGAACCATCGTTGAGCATCATCACGGAAGCTCTGTGGCACTTCTCCAGTCCTGGTCTCACCCGCTTGGCTTTCGGAAGATGAGACAGCTGAACATTGGCGATCTGCCAGGGAGTCAAGGCCTGAATCTTCCTGAACAGGTCGGTGGAAGGGTCCAAAAACATGCTTGATTGCACCTTTCTCGCAAGCTGCTCCTGCACAAGGTCGAACAGGGGCATCCACTTGTCCTCTGTGCGGTCAACGTCCACGAAGTAGGAGCTTCGCGGCTCATAGGTGTCCCAAGTGTGCTTCAAGCCAAAGTCTTCTTCCTCCTTGATCTCCAAGTAGGCCCGGCAGATGGCATCGGCCAAGTCAGGTGGATATGCTGCTGACAATGCTGTATTGGAACCTGCAACTGCTTCGTGCTCATGGCTAAAGTCGCACTTCCGGTTGAGGGTGTCGGTGAAGTGCTTGTGAGTGGAAATGAACCTAACCCTCTTGAGCATCGGCAAGCCATGTCGGCCTGTCATGCCAAACTGGCACAAGCACGAAGTGGTTTCATGATGTTGCAGGATCGACCAAACGGTGCAAGGGTACTCGACAATAGCCAGGCGAGGGTTCCAAACATCCAGCTTGCGCAAGAGTCAACGTCTCCACTTGCGCTGCCGAAGGTCGACACCGTACCTGATGTCGATAGGTTGCAAGACTTTCAATCCCCAGTTTCGGCCTGCTCGAAGTGAGATCATCGAAGTGCCACCGAAGATCTCGATGATGTCATACCCAAAGGTCCGTCTCGGCCAACTGGAGGTAGCCATTTTGTCTTGCACTGCTTTGCGAGAGGCCCGGCTCATGGCGAGTGCTCGCCGCATATTGTGCTTCAGCCTTCTCTGGATGCCGGGTTTGAGGTGATGCCAATCGTCGGGGTCAGGAGCGTGTTCGTCTAGCCATCGAACTCCTCCTCGTCGCTGACCTCCATCACCTTGTCCCAGCTGTCGTCCTCGTCCTTGGAAGCTGTCGCCAAGGAGCGCTTCGGCGAAGATTGCCTCGGCTTGGTCTTGCTCTTGGCTTTGGGGTCCGCCTTCTTCTTCAAGACCACATCGTTGATGGAAACCTCCAAAGCCTGTTGCGAGGACAGCGAGTAGCAATCGGCCAAGTTGCCATAGTACGCCGCCTCCTTTGGCTTGAGGACGAACTTTGTTGCTTTTGCGCCTGGCTGCTGACGATAGCCGTGGAGGTAGGCATACACGGGGACCTTCTCCTTGCTGATCGGCACCGTGTAGTCCGACGGAAGAGCTTTCTTCAGCAGCCCGCAGTCCAGACATTCCAGAAACTTCCCATGTGCATTGCCCAGGCGCCGAGCTGACGCCACCTCGTGGGGGCAATGAGGGATCTGCAGCGGATAGGCCGATTGCAAGGCCTTGGCTGTCTGACCCGCTGCTTTGGTCGTCGCCGGCGGCACCGTCGCTGGCATCTGCTGCTGCTGGCGCATCATTGCCTCCATGTAGCCCATCAGGGCCGGAGACCGGTGCTTGAACTCTCTGATGGCGAGGTTGATGCCTTCCCACCTGGCCAGGAGCATCCAAAGACGTTCGATGGCCATGATCAGGCGCTGCCATGCCCTCAGAGCTCGCTTGTTGCCCATGTAGACCTGGTCGAAGACGATGTTCACGAGTGAGCTGCCGCTGAGAGGCTGCTCGAGAGCCGAATTGCTTCGGTGGGATCGTGAACCTGTCAGACCTCTTGCTGGGGGCACGCTCAAAGATGGGAGGAGTGACATCGAGGTCAAACTGCAAAATCTTCTTGTTGGCATGGGGTTGAAGACTTTTGGCACTGACCACATGTTCACTGCCATCAGGAAAAACGATGTCCACGCCGGCTACAGGTTGTGGTTGAAAAAGTGAATGACACTGCACTGACACATCTTTCAAAAACAAAACTGTGAAGCCGGTCCAAACAAAAGGAAGTTCTTGTTGAGCTTCGAGCGGAGTCCAAACATCTCGAACCACATCTTTGAGGCCCTTCACCACAGTAACCCGATCGAGCGACAAAGTGTCGGGATCAGGCCCGGACCTGTCGTCCGTAGGGCTGAAGAGGCGACTTCTCGGCCTGCAGTGGTGGCGGATGATCATGCCTTTGTCAAACTGAAACTCCCAATAATCTGGTTTCACCGTGCAGGGGCCCCTAGTGAGGTTCTGGTTGGAAAAGAAGTCGTCATCATTGGGCTCATAGAAATAGTTGGGGCTAGTCTTCAGGTGGTACTTGGTGGACTCAAACTTGGTGGACTCAAAGCGGTCAAAGCGGTCGGACGCGTAGATTTCACGGCCAGCGAGAGGGTCTGGTCCCTCGTTGACGAAGATTTTGTCAACGTCGAGGGGCTGAGAACTGTCGGCCCAGTAAGGGTCGAAAACGATGCCCTCATAGCCGATGGCCTTGGGGTTCAAGCCGTGCGGCCACTTGCCATCAGGAAATTCATCGATGGCGATGACCAAATGACCAGTGTGGTCGATCAACAAAGGTGCCGTGACTCCAATGTCAGGCATGGAAAAAATGCCAGCGCCCACATCGATGATGGCCTTCACAAAGAGAAGCCAATCTTGGCCTGCCAGGAACGGTACTGGGGCGCGTCCTGGTGCTTGCTCGATGGTGGATGTGTTGACCACCATGGCCACGCCTTGCACTGCGATGGGCAAACTGACTCTCGTACTCGATGTGATCGGCTCACCAGGGCCAAAGCAATAGCGTTCCGACTCAGTCTCAATCTTGGGGACGATGTGGTAGTCCTCCAAAAAGCGTCGAACAATCAGATCCAAGATGCTGGAGCCGCAAACAGTGTTCTCGCATGCGGTATCGATCGTGATGTAGCATCGGCCGTCTTGCACAGTTGGTGCTCGCCTGGTCAGGGAGCTGACATGCCGGTGGATCTGTTGCTCTGTCAGGAGCTCCTCATCGTCGGAGTCCGGAATGGTCTCCACATTGGTCCAACCAACTCGACGGGTCATGAAGTTGCGACGAGGTTGGCGAAGAGCTTCAATGTCCGGTGCCTTCTGCTTCTCCCACCTCCTCGTAGGTGTCGTTGTCATAGTGGCGGATGGCTTCCGCAACTGACGCGGCAGTTGGTGCACGACTGTAGGTGCTCTTCACACGAGCGTCCTCGATGAAGGTCTTCACGGCTTCAGTCGCAACAAAGCTGCTCGAGGTGTTGTCCTTGGCCAGCTCTTCTCGCACAGCGCCAAGGCTCAAAGGAGAGGCATCGGGCTTTGCCTTCTTGCGGAGAGCTTCAACTTTCCGCGCCATCTTCTTCACCTGGTTCTCGTCCGCGGGTGTCGCCGAAGAGGAACGGTAGGATGTAGCTGGCTCAAGCTTGCGACCTGACAACGAAGTTGGCGCAGGTGGAGCTCTGGTAGGCTTGACCTGCACGGGACGAGTGGCGGTATGCGCAGCACGCGCTTGGTTCTCCTGGAACTCGTCCCAGGTGCCATCATCCCACTGGTAGTCAGCGTCGTCATACCAGTCAGCATCCCAAGGATCATGGTCATCTCCGCGACCTGCTTCATGTGCACCACGTCGCTGTTTGGGGCATTCTGGATCTCCGCGCCAGTGACCGACTTGTTCGCAGTCACCGCAAGTTGTGACGGCCTTCAACTCCTGGAGAGTCATGCCTCCGCGAGCTTTGCCGCCGCCTTTCGAAGATCCCTTGCCCTTCTTGCCTTTGGAGCCTTTCTGACCCTTCTTGCCTTTGCCAGCATTCGAGGATCCGGAGACGTAGAATCCCCTGGCCTTCACGGCCTTGGCGAGCTTCTGCCTGTTTTCGCGGTGGGTCGCGAAGCAGTGGTGGAGCTCGCGAGTCAAATCCTCAGGGACGCCCTCGTTCATCTCGACGTCCGCCAGCATCTCGACAGGGTCGTAGTCCATCAGCCAGCCTTCTAGCTGTTCTTCTGAAGCATCCCAACTGGGCAGCGGAACCTCATCGGTCTGCTGCTGATCCATAGTGTGTGCCTCGTGTGCACCACGGCCTTTACCAGCCGGCCTGTGGGTGTAGTGACGGTTGCCCACAAGCGTGTTGGGGTAGAGGACGTCAATGGCCTGCTTCATGAGCTTCCAGTTGTACTCTCCGTTCGTACGGAGGAGCAAATTGGCTTGTCTCTCTTGGCTGACTCCGGCATGCTCGAAGTACCAGTAGATCAACACGGCGTCCGGCATGCTCAAACCAGTGTCTCTGCAGTCTCGGTGGGCTTTGTCCAAAGCGTCGGCTGCCTCCCGCATGGTGCAAGAGCCAGAACCCAACTGCATCTTGAAGAAACCCTTCATGGCGCTGCCGATCTTGTGGACCTGGGGCTCGTCGAACTTGTCCTGCAAGACCCTCAAAAGGATCCTCCAGCCGTCCACCTTGCCAAAGGTGCGAGCGGGCACGTCCTCCAAGAACTCGGCTGCTTTGCCTTCCAAGGCTGCATGAAGTCGAAGCCCAATCTCCGAGTCATCGATGATCTTGCGGGCTATCTCGACGTAGGAATCAACCTTCCCGAGCCAAACCTTGAAGCACTTCGGATTGGCCTTGCGGTCACCGTCGAACTTCGGCGCCGGCGGGAGATTCCCGCGAGGGCGCTTCTGAGAACCACGGTCTTCAGGACCACGAGACTTCGAAGCTGACCTGGAAGAGTCTTTGCTGGGACTAGGTCCAGGACTGGCCGCACTCTTAGGGCCTTGCGACTTGGAGCTGCCAGCAACTGAGGGGGTCGAAGATCTCGGGCCATTGCGACCTGAGCGAGTCGCCGCTGGAGTCGAAGGTGAAGGGCCACCATCTTCCTCAGCATGAGCGTCGTGCTCGGCAGAGACCTCCTCTTCCGCTTCCTCCTGGTACTCTTCCTCATCATCCTCTTCTTCCAACAGCAAGGACACATTGTCCTCCTCATCCTCGTTGATGAGGTCCATGGTGTAGCCGCTGCGAACCACGAGGGGATATGCAGGTAAACGCTACCAATGCAATCGACGGAGTTCGATTGAGGTGTATGTGGAGCTTGGGGTCGATTCACGAAACCCTCGGGGGAGTGTCGGGTTCACCACGACATGACGATCGGGGCTGCGCACCCGTTTTGCTATGCGCTCAAGGGCCCTAGCGGCGGTACGTGAACATGTGCAAACAGCTCATGGATGCATGCCGAAACTGCACTTTTTTCCAGCGCCTTCCAACAGGTCGTCCCGCATGCCGGCGCATGACGGCCCCTGCTCGGCCCCGGTCCGGAGCACCGGAGCACCGGAGCACCCAGCTGCCTGGATGGAGATGCACTTGGGAGTCGCTCGTGCCATGCAGGTGGAGAACGGTGTGAAAGAAGATGTATCCTCAGTCATTGGGCAAACACATCAACAAAGCACCCCAAAGTGGCTCGACCCGGCTCAAACTCCCCCACCCACCCCCAACAGAAATCACTTAGTTGAGGAACATCCATCCAACCTGACACGTCTTCCGGTTTCGTCCTACCTTTTCGTCACCCTGCAGTGGGTCCCTTCCCACCGGTCGCTCCCTTTCGCTCACGGGTCCGAACACCCACGACCGGTGCAAGCGGAGCCGGCGCACTGCGCGCGATCCGTTGGACGGTGCCGGTCCGGAGCGCGGAGACGGAGGCGAAGTCAGACTCCGCAAGTCAGACTCTCGGGCCCACCGAGACGGAGTCGGATCCGACTTCGGTCGTCGCGACTGGAAAAAACGGTCTACCATGCAAAACAGGCCTGTTGGTGGTTTCGGTGCTGGTAGAGGTCCCAGATTAGGGGGTCCATATTGTAGGGCGGCTGAAAATGGGGTTGCCGATGGTTGCCGCCGTCCCCCTGTGACCTTGTTACTTATGACTCTGCACTGTTAGAGGACCTGTATTTTACAGGATCAGCTCTAATAGTACTAACTACCTAGCTAACCCTGCTAGCCCGGTAAGCGCTACCTTTTGCTCTACCTTGAGCCAACGCTACGGGGTCCATGGGGATGAGGTGAATTTCAACACCCCCTTTACAAGGAGCTACCCGTAGGGAAAATCTCGGGGAGGATCAAATTCTAGCGACGAAGGAATCATATTAGAAATCCCTCATCAAGCTCGTGCATGCACTATACAAGGAGAACGTAGCTACCCTAATGTACAGTTTTGCCTCACTCGGCATGTGGTTAAACATGCTAGGCCCAGGTTAGTGTTAAGCATTGATTAAAAGTTCACTCTCCGACTATGGCAATCCTGTTATGGATGCATTGGGAAGTGAGACAATGAAGTGAAACATCATCTCACAGCGCGTCAGAAGGTGATCTTTATCTCAACACTCATAAACTGCGAGGCATACCATTTATGGTAGCTATTCAACATCTGCTTAAAGAAATTGTATTCCAAAACGCTCCGTCTCGTCATGCCATCCCTGCCTCAACCACTCCCACAATTCCATGTGATTGGGCCAATAGTTCTCGCCCCATGGGTCATCGCGTTGCCATTGTACTCCAGGAAAATCAAAGGGTTCCAATGGTCGATCAATAGTTCCACGAATGCTGGAAGTCGGCGGCCCAGTTAAGGGTGCATTATGTGGCGATGATGCCGAAGCGGATGAAGTTCCGGGTGGCAATGGCGGCGGTGGCACGTTTTGTACATTCCATTGCTGTGGAGCATAAGGTCCTCCTCGAACACTCACCTGCTGCTTATCCTTGCCCTTTCCTTTTACGGAAGGTTGCAACCGACTGTAAAGGTCTGTAAGCGGCGGCGGCTTCGGCGTGAGATTGAAATCTGTCGGCCTTGTATGTACCGGAATGCCACTGGCTGTATTGGGCGGCACTTTCGGTGGAGGAACCTTTGGAGGAGGCACCTTTGGTGGTGGGACCTTCGGAGGTGAAGGTTTGGCTGGACGTGGCTTGGAGATTGGTGAAAGGCCAGTTGCAGGTGGGTTGTTGGGTGCAGTTAACGGTGGCGGTGAAGTTGGGGGACCCAAGAGGTTCTTGGGGATGTTGCCACGTTTAGGTGGAAGGACACGGCTCTGGGAAATTGCTCGGGCGACAGAACCACGCGGCGTCCCTTTTGCGGGAGTGGCTGAGCCTGCTGCCGAAGAACTGCCTTGGCCCTTGCCCTTTCCAGAAACATCTCTCCGTTCACCGACATCCTGTTTAGAGGAGTCACCCTTTCCTGAAACTTGTCCTTGAGCAGGAGGTGCATTCATACGGAATACCGACGAGGTATGCGTCCCTGTAACGGGAGCTGGCGGCTGAGGCACGCCTGGCGGTGGAGTCCGGTTGTCAACCCAAGTTGCAATGCGACCAGATTGATCTCGGTCTTCTTTCCTCCTCCACTGCAGCCTCGGTCGTTTGTCTGCATCTCCAATAGTCTCCATGTACATCTGCGATCGCTTCCGCGTCAACGGGGGCCTTGTTACAGGTCCTTGAGGAGATGGTGCTCCACGCTGCCCAAACTCAAGCAAGATCTCTTCAAGCCGTCGAATCTCGTCAGACGACATGTCCTGGCCACAATCGGCAAACTTGGGATAAGGCGTGGCCATGCGCTGTTCGATGTTCATGAAGCCCATCTGTGAAACTGGCTGTCCACGATCGCGTCCCTGCACACTTGCAGACTGTTGCGCGTTCCTCTGATATTGAATGTTTGCATAATTTTCATTCTGCTCTGCAAACTCACTCAAAATCTTGTAAATGCCTGTCGTGTCTCCACGAGGAATACGAATTGAATGAATATCGCCATAGACGTCCGTCGTGGGGATAAAGCCCTGGATCTTGATCTCATCTCGGCTATCGCCAATTACGGCGGCGTATTGTCGGAGTGACATAAACTCTCGGCGATAACTGATCAGAAAGTTCTCGTCGACGCCTTGCTTGAAACAGGTATGTAGGTTGTCAACACCGCATCGAATATACGCGAGCTTGGCGAGGTCAACCCTGTCCAGTCGATCCAAATCACTGACAACCGACTTCCCTTTTGATCTCTGCTTCGCTGATCTCGTGGGTGCCGGTAATTGCAGTGACGCAAACAAGTCTTCTTGCGCTGCATCAAACGCTGTGCATCCTTCTCCGGTTAAGGAGGTAGCGAAGACGTCGTCGCGGTTGAATCGATCGAATACATTCTCATACCCTGATTTCAATGCTTTGCGAAGGCGGCCGCGAGCTGCAAGAATAATCTGACTGTCAACTGACGGGCTACCACGAGCTGGAGGTCGTCCAGACTGTAGGTCCTGCGCGGCAATGCTGTCAAGCATGCTTGTTGCGGTCATGTTCTTGGGCACGCCCCCCTGCTCTTGTAGCACCTTTGCACGCCTCATCTGAAGTCGCATAAACTTTGAGATCGGTCCATCTGTTGTATTGCTCTGAAATACTACTCCGCATCGATGACAAGATGCCATTCCTGCTAAGGAAAGTGTCGTACATTTATCGCAGCTGAAAGTTCGAAGATGTAGAAAATATCCACTCTCGATCTGTGGTACAGCTGTATTGCGATTTGCCTCCATCTCTTCCTTCTTTGCGGCACTGCTGCTAGCTGTGCGTTCTTCGGGAGTGGCGTCGCTTGTACCTTCCAAAATGGTGCGTACTTCCGACACTTTTCCCGGGACCAATGTCACATCATCTTGCGGAACACCGACCTCAATGTTCGAAGGATCCAATGCCTGCGGCCTCGAATAGAAAACTTCTGGCTCCGCATTTGCGCGGGCTCGAGTTGCAAATAGAATACACGTATTCGGGACGTGATGGCTGGTAATCACCGCGCCAGAATTTGTGAGGAAAAGGTCAACTCCTGCTTCAATCACATCCGGTGTTGAAAAACAAATCTCCACTGGTCGGTCAGCACGAACACCAGATATCGCCTTCTGGTTTCCCAGAGGTTGTGTTGAAAAGAAGGAATTGCCTTTGCTTTTAGGTCCACCGGCTCCACCGCCGGGAATGAGCCCGCTCGCAATAATGGATCGCGCAGCACCTTCATGCGTTCGGTGGTAAAGCCGAGGTGGTATATCGCAGTTCCCGTGCGCTGTCAAACGAGCATTGTACCTGTGTACATGGTCAGGACGGCAGTAGATTAGTACTGCTAGCACTTCATTTGATCGCGTCTCGAGAACGTCGTCAGTGTGGCCTTGTCCACATCGGATCTTGACGGGGGCGGCGAAAAGTTCGAGCTGCTCGTTCACACGAGAGTCGTACACGCATTGAAATTCGAAACGATCTTTGTGGTCATAAATAGCCATCGAAATCAACTCAAAAACATTCATAGAACCAGCGTAATCAGGGAATTTGGCCTTCGCCAAATCTAGTAGTTTGTAAATTGGCAAATAACACGCCGGATCATAAATACTGACGTCTGGGACGTGTCCACGAAGAAGACCAGAAATACCGCGACGAACATGAGGTGGCCAGGAGCAGCACCACTCCCAAGGCCCATGATGATAATCCTCATATACATAATAGTACCTATGGCCAGTAACGTGGTACAGCACGTACTGCTTGGCGTCGCGGCCCAGCTCATCCTCGAGGAGTTGGATGTTGCCATTCCCGATGGCCTTGAGTAGGTGATCCGGGTAAGGATACCTTCCGAGAACCTCTTCAACCTCGACCTGCATATTTTTGTACTCGGGGTTAGGCTTCGTCTCGCGAACGAGAACGCCCTTCCCTTTTCCAGAAAATTTCAAGTCGGGGTTGTCGTTGTTCTCAGGTTCAAGAAAGCTCCCCGTTACGGGAGCGGCCGAAGGGGTGCCTTGTCCCTGCCCTTTGCCTCGCAATCGCGGCAATGGTGGTCTCGGGTCAGATGAAGACGCTTGACCCTCTGCGGGTTGGTCCGCGTCCGTAGGGATCATAGGAACATCTCCGGTTGCACCTTCTTCAACAGTCGTTTCATCATCAGCCAAAACATCAAGAACCTCGGCCTCGATCTTCGCCATCTGTGGATCAGGTTCTGGTGCTGTCGGCAAGGCATTTACGCCTGCGATACCAGTATCAGGTCCAGGTACTTCGTCGGTTGCGCCTGTATAGCTATCGGGCATCTCAACGTCCGCGTCGGTTTCCTCAACCTTCGGCTCGACTTTTACGTCGGCTGTCGCAACGTCATCCATCGGCTCGTCCAATGCGGGCTGTTCCTCCGGTAGCTCAATAACAGGTACAACATTGATAAACTGCAACACATCTTGAGGATCTTCGCCTTCCAGGTTAACGGAGGCCTTGAGCTCTTCGACTGACACGTCATTCGTCTCAAAGGGGCTGTACGCTTGTACTTCCTCGACAGTAAACTGCCTGCTCTTCCCCAACGTCTGTTGCATTCGCGCGTTTCGCTGTTCAACAAATTCATTGATAAGCTGTAAATACGATTCCGGTATTTTGACTGTCGCTGAGG